TGTCATTCCTGACCAATCCCAAAATCTATGACTATGCCAACCTGCTTGAGATGTACTTAAATCTATGTAGTGACTATGTGCAGGTAAATTTTCACCTGAAATCGTTTTACTTCCACCTGTTTCCTTTGAAGAGTTTGCACAATACAAAAACCTGTCGACTATTTGAGTCCAAGTTCCAAAACCCAGAACTGTTTCTGGTCTGGTAGAGTTCATTGACGTATAAATAGAGCCTATAGGATATAATGTTTGAAGTATTTCTGTCTTTAATGTTTGAAGCTCTGTTTTGTCTGCTTTCTTGTCATATAAATCTTGAGCAGTGAATTTAATATTATGTTCATCCTTCATGACATAAACATCTTTACATCTAATGTTTCTCATCGTCGTTATGTCGTCATCCGATGTTAAACCTTGTGGAAAGTTAGGAGGTTTACAATATAATACATCCCCACCAGTTTCTTCAACCGTTCCTTCAATACTTTCTATAGCAACAGTTGTAAAACTTGTATGTGTATGGTTCTTGTCTGCTTTCTTTTCAAGGCTAACGTTTAAGTCTGTTATTTCAGATATAGAATGTGTATGTCCAACGGCACTTTTCCTGTTTAAGGTTTCTTGTAAGTTTGTAATATTTGCAATGGTATGTGTATGTCCAACGGCACTTTTCCTGTTTAAGGTTTCTTGTAAGTTTGTAATATTTGCAATGGTATGTGTATGTCCAACGGCACTTTTACTGTTTAAGGTTTCTTGTAAGTCTGTTATTTCAGATATAGAATGTATATGAGTCTTTTTAGAATATTCGTTTTCAGCTCTTGTCACTTCACTTGACATTTTATTGTCAACATATGTTTTGTCTGCTAGTTCAGGATGAGTATGTTCTTTTGTTGCATAAGCTTTGTTAGCTCTTTCTTCTTCTTTTGCTATTGCATCGTCTACATATTCTTTGTCAGCTTTGTTGTCAACATCTGCTTTCAAAAGAAGTTCATTTATAGGTTTCTCGTTTAAAGTTCCTTTTGTTGGATTTATCAAACAGTATGGTTCTTATTGTCTTGAAACAGAAACTCATCTGTCATTGGGTTTAATGTCAGTTTTAAGTTTCCTTCTTTCAATGACTCAGATATCTTAGAATAGTTTGAAAAGTTTGTTGTGTTCTTATTTAGAGCTTGTATAATGAGTTGTCGGTTGTGTTGTATTTCTCTCATAGACGCTGTTTCATTTGACATTTTTATTCTAGATAAAATATGCTTTCAATAGAAAAAGAAAATTCTAGAGTTGCTACAACTAAACCATTAGATGAACTTTTTACTAATGTAGGTCAAAAGTTTGAGACAGAGACCGTAAAGCATGAAGGCTATCGTTTTGACTACCCGTTAAGATGGTTAAGAGACCCATCCGTCACAAAAGCTATTGGCTTTCGTAGAATGAAGTTCATTTCAGAAGCCATACATGGTTTCCCATTTACGGTCGGTTTTGAAGTTCGATACTATAACAAAGAAAAACGTATGTATGAGAAATTTGAACAGGGAAAACTTTTACAAGTTAGTTTGCTTGTAAACTTAGAAACAACTCTTCAAGCTTTTCAAGAAAAAATAAACGATATCTATATCGAATATGCAAACCAGTATAACATTGACGAAGGAGAGTACCATCTCGATATTATATATGACAGGAAAAATGCAACTGTTAAAATCAATAGAATAGAAGACCTTGGAGAAAACGTTTATATTTCTACAAAATATAACAACTTGGCATGGTATAGATTTATGAGGATGTTAAATCAGCCTGCAGAATATCCAGTACACCCGGACTTTTATGAAGTCGAAAACCCTAATGGAACATATGAAAATGTTTTCGACTCAGATGCTATTATAGTTCATGCTTCATTTTCTGGTGCACAAAACTCTTTTTTATGCTTGGCAAATGACTTTTACGAAAAACCTACAAAGCTATATGAACCACCAAGTGGAAGTATTTCAGACTTTCAAGTATGGTTTACAACAGATGGAAGAAAGAGAATAATTCCATTATACCATGCGTTTTACTTAGAACTTAGTTTCATATACAACTACTATCGAACGGTAAAAATATAATTTTTTAATACGGTTGAGGTGTTGGATTTGGTTGCCAACTAGACTGTGGTGCAGGTTCAGGCTGTTGTATAACAGGAGCTTGTTCTTCTGGTTCAGGGTCTTTAGGTATAATACCAACGAACTGACCTACTCTTTTACCAATATTTTTGACTCCGTTCCAAATTCCTCTTCCTACGGTTTTTATTCCATTCCATATACCTCTTCCAACTCTTCTGAAGAAGTTTCCAATACTACTGAAGAAACCCATTTTACTATATGTAAAAATCTAATGTCCGCCTAGTCTCTTACGTTTCCTGTTGAGTTCCATAGCATTCTTTAACTGGAGCTCATACATTCTGTTTCTCCTCTGGTAGAAAACATATTCTGGGTCAACTCCTGTGTTCGCGTCATCTGCATAAAGTTGTTTATATCCCACTTCAGGGTTTGTATAAAACTCTTTCCATCTCATATTTGCATACCATGGTGGCAAACCTAACGCAGCGTCATTTGACATGGCAGTTTGCATTTGTACATCTGTTGGCACTTGACCATAGTTTGCCATTGCAGTTTGTATTCTAACTTCATTTGGAATATTCTCTGGGTTTGGTTGTCCAGGTTGCTGTGCATTCGCTAAGTTCTGTGCGTCCATTTAATATTAGATAAAAATATCTCTTACGAGTACATATGCTGAACATTTGCAGGCATTGGTTCATCTTCATATTCTCTGTACTTTTCTGCCACGTCAAATAAATAAATGACACAATGGAAAAAAACCTAAAACAAGTAGTCCTATTTCAAACCACATTTACTTACTAGTAAAATTTCTTTGTTATGACACTTTCTCCGGTTTATAGGACCTCTCTCATATTCTATCTTGTCATATCTAAACTCATAGTCATGTATGTCCTCTAACCATTTCATAACGGTTTCCAAACCACTTTTATCGGATGTAAAGTAAAAGCATGGACAGTTATGTAAAACGTCTAAAGTTTCTAAAGAGTCTCTCAAAGTCCAGTCTACTTGGTATTGAAAATCGCATGTGTTATAGAACGGCGGGTCCACTATAAAGAAAACATTTTCCTTGTCTTTATATTTTTCATACAACTCTGTCCAACGACATCTCACAAACTCTATACCCTCAATATATTTTTCTATGTCCTCTTTGAAAACATTTGTATAGTTAAGATATAAAACTTTTGACATAAGTGTTTCAATGTCATGAACTCTTATAGAACCACTATATAATAGTCTAGCAGATATACTATCCCAGTCTATATATTCTGCTTTTTTCAAAACCTCTCTCACAATATTTTTCTTATCTAATGGTATACGTTCCATCTTACCTATAGGTATCTTTTCTTTTAACTCTTTCAATATTTTGTTAGTGTCTGGAATATGTTTGAGACGGTTCATATAGTTGTCGAAGTCATTGCATATAATCTTTGAGTCTGGGAATATTGTATGGCACAAATGGGATATATAGAAACTTCCACCGAACAAATCTACAAATGTTAGACCATTCGGTAGTTTCTTAAGTTCTCTCAATAGAATATCTTTACATCTACTCTTATTTTCAAAGAACGGTAACGGTGGTTTTGTAAAATTCATTTATATATAATAATAAAAATGTTTTTTCCTGAAAAGTGACAGAAAAGTGACAAAACATGAAAACATATATAGTTTGTGAAAAGTGAAACATTATATAATGTTTTCGACCCAGAAGAAGGCTTCTTCCCAGAAGCAATGGAGGAAGAAGAAGAGTCCTCCGAATTCACACCAGAAGACTAACAATTTTCCGAATAAAAACTTCATTTATACTAAACATCTTCGGGGCTAGAGGGCACGAAGTGCCTGGAAGCCCCACTACCTTTTTTTTTTTTTTTTTTTTTTTGATTGTTGTTATACTTGGTGCAATAACAATATCGTTCATTGTTGAGTATCCTCTGAATGCTTCTGTTTCAATAATGGAACAATTAGGATAAAAAGTTAAAAAATCGGTATAGGAAATAGGAATCCAATAAAAGGAGCTATAGTCATAGCTATAAATGCATTTGTTATGTATTCTCAGATATGGATTTCTAGAATCTATTGTGACAATGAGGTTTTTCATAAGGTTTAAAGCAGAAGCGTTGATTTTACAATTTTTTGGTATAAAAAAATTAGTGACTGCAGAGTTCTGGGCGAATGCACCTCCAATTTTAGTCAATAAGCTATTTTCTGATATAAATATATTAGTTAATGACTTACATCCAGTAAATGGTCCTCCCCAAATAGGGTCATCGTAATATCCAGAAAATTGTGTAACAGAATCTGGAATAGAGATGCTCTTCAAATTTGTTTGAAAAAATGAAGCAGATTTTATACTTTTCATCTCTCCATTCATCGGAAGGAAAATTTGATTTAAATTTGAACTTTTAAAAGCACCGCTACTCATATGCTGGAGATGATTGCACATGCTCAGATTAACACTAATGAGTTGTGTAAAATATGAAAATGTTCCCATTCCGAGATCTTCTAATAATGAATCTTCTTCAAAACTCAAATATTTTAAGACGTATCTGAGAGATTCTAGCGGGCGAATGGTAACATCATGGTTAATAACTGTACTATCTTTAATTCTGGCAACATTCTTCGGAATGATAATTGTTTCGCTCGGAGTAACATCGATTAATGTAGTATTTAATTCATCTTCATACTTGAATTCAATAAGCAACAATGATGCAAATAACCATAAAAAAGTCAAATACTATGGAATATGAAGCATTGAAATTTTTAAACCTTAAAAATATTTTCTGAGAAAAAACAAACGCCAAAAAAGTGAATGTTGTTCTCACCATACACTAGAAAACGATGTGAATTTAATTTTATATCTAAAGAAATAAAAAACACTTTTTAAAATAAATAAAAAAAATCTAAAAATATATATATAAATAAAGATTATGAAAGTTGAACTATATCTGCTGCATTCTGTGTTCTATCATTAACAATCTCTCCTCCGTAGAAGATAGCTGTCCTTATCTTCTTTGCCATAGACTCTTCTGTTGTGTATCTCGGAATCTTTATCGTTGAAGAACATGTTTGTGCTGTCGGTAGCTCTGCGTTTTCATCTGTTCTTCCTTGGAGAGGAAGCCATGTAATTGTCAGGCTGGAGTGCCATGACATTCCTGGTGATGGTAATCCCATTCTTCCTGTTGCGAATTTGATGAACAACATTCTTTCGTTCGGTGTGAAACTCTCTATAACTTTCCACAGCATTATCGATGATTTGTCCATTGCGTCGTATTTGCAGCATTTCTTCAATTCGTCGACTGAAACATTTGTGTCTCCACTGACAAACAACTCGAGTTCCCATGAACTGAGTAATGTAACAGCATCTGTTGGTAAGAAATGAAGGATTCCACGACGTAATGATGTCAAATGTGGCAATAATTCTTTGATTCTGTATTCTTTGCACAATTTGACGTATTTTTGTACATTTTCCATTGTGACTTTGACACTTGATCCGTAAGGAATAAGTTCTTTGACTTGTCCTGCGACATTAACAACTGTGAAGGAGTATTCGTGTGCTAGTAATGTCTTCGCAGGATTCTCTTTAAACGCTTTGATCGAACTAGCAAAAGCGGAATCAACTGAGTAAATGTCTTCAATTGTTAATTGGTGTCCTGTCAAAAATCTCCAAACAAATTCAGCGAATCTAAATGGTTGAGGCATTCGACTGACGTAAGCAATTGACATCAACACTCCTGCGTATTCCAGTTGCACTAAATCTGTACAGCTTGGATTAGGCACGAATCTGTCAACGTTTTGAGCATTTCTAGGCAAATACTGAGTGTTTGGAGAACTGATGAACAAACCAGTGCTTGGATGGAATAATTCGATGCACATCTGGCTGAATATGTCTCTACTTGGTCCACCTGCATCCAAAGCGCCTTCTCCGATCAAATCTACATGCCATGGAACTGAATCTCTCTTCAATGAATCAATCAATCTCAGTGGAACTTGTTCAATCAACTGCCTCAACAAAGTGGAAGCTGATGGATGATCTGGTCTGTTCATGTGCAAAATGGCTCTTGATCTGTTGAATCTCAAGTGCAATCTGTTGTTGTCTTTCAAGTTGTTTGACACTCTCTCTTTGAAGATTCCTTGTTTGTGGCGTGTTGCGATGGCTGTTCTTGCTGCAAGGAGTCCCCCAGCCAACAAACCACTCGTCTTTATATCGACTTTCTTTAGAAGATACTCCATGATCGAATCGAGCTGTTTAACAAGGGAAATTCGGACATTGACGTATTTCTGAGGAATTGCTGATAAAAGCTGTGATCTCGCGTAATCTTCATCTGCCAGTTCTGATGCAATTTCATCTGAGTTTATTGATCTCAAAATCTTTAAAAGTTCTTCATCCATCTTAGGAGTCCATTTCGATCTCATCACATCACAGATTTGGAGGAATTCATTGAACTTGGATGTGAAGAAAGCCAAGCCTTCTTCGTACTTAGGGAACTTCATCTTAATTACAATCTCGAAATCCTTTTTATCGGCGTGAATTGTGATTCTACTTGGAGAAGTGATGACTGTTCCACTTTTTACGTCTTTTCCATTTACGGCGACTGTAAAAATGTTTTTGAGAATTATTTCCGCACTGTCCCAATTCTCATTAGTAAAGTTATATACTAAACATTTGCCATCAACTGAAAAATCGTCACTTTTTAGAGTTACGGGCGTGAATGGCATTTGTTTAAGAAAATCTTCGATTAACAAGAAAGAAGGGAATCTTATAGGGAACGACCAATCATGAGTCAAAGCTGTTGCGTGTGTGAAGTATGCTGATATTGTGTCGAACTTCGTCTGTGGCTTGTTTGTCGCTCTATCCATCAACATTTGGAAATATTGAGGTATCTTTGTTTTGTCTCTTGCTGCTGCTTTTTCTGCCGAATACAATCTGTTCAAATCGAGCATTATATTCAACAAAATCGCTTGTTCCGCTGATGGTGTTAAGAAGTCGTTCTGATTGATCGATGCCTCGAAGGAAGTCATGTAATTTGAAACATCGGAATTTGTTGAAAAAGCGTCTTCATCTTCACTCCAATCCAATCTTGACAAAATTGGAGCGATGATTTCGAAAGCGACCAATCTCGATATCAATCCATCACTCATCATCAGTTTCACGGCCATTGGAAGGAACTCTTTCAAGTCTGCTCTGACGTCTTTCATTGGACATTTCTCGAGGAATGAGAAATAGTAAGACAAAGTCGTCAGCAAAATGTGGAAAGAGCCAACAGGAGTTTTAGAACATTGTTCGCTCATGTGTGACTGTATTGGTAAAACAGCGAACTTCAGTTTCCTTCTGTTGTTTATCGATCCATTGCCTTTGATGTGCAGTTTGTTTCCAGTGAGAAACTTCACATCTCTGGCAAGTGAAGTGATGTCATTTTCATTCAAATAAACGTAACTTGGCTGTATATTGTTTTCCGAATGAACAGCTACGACAAAACCAACAGCGTTTTGTTCTTCCAATGTGAGATCTATTGTGAAGTTTCCTGTGTTTGCCGGCGTATTGAACTTGTAATAGGATTTCGTGTTCTCGTACAAGTTGTTGCTGGAATCAGCCATTTTAGATCCATCTAATCCGTGAATGGCCAATTTCATTATAACAGAGAAAAACCAATGCAAACTAGAATCGTTGAAAATCAACAAATTTGTTTTTCCTAACAATTCTTTCAGTTTCTCAGAAATCAGAACAGTCATTGGAACAAATTTGGAGCTGTCGACAATGAATGGATTGATCTCTACATGCTGAGTGAATGTGTTCAATTCAATAGTCAAAACAGAGAACAAACTTGACAATTTCTTTTTGACGGAACTCCACAATTTGACAATTAATTCTGGATTGTTATAAATCATGACTAAAAGAGCGTATCTTGAGCTTCTTATTGCTATCTTCCTTGTGTAATACAATGCTTCACTCGCTGTTGATTCCGTATTCATTTTGTTCATGAAATCTGATCCGATGTATCTTTCTCTGTCAACTTTTGTTATGAACCTTGAATTTATCACTGCTTTTTCTTTCACAGCTGTTGCAGGATTGTAGAACTCCAATGCAATATCTGATGAGTTGTATGCGGAAGAGGTGATTCCTGTGACAATTCCCATCCTGTTGTACATCCATCTGTTGATATTCGGTATGTTTATCGCTTCGTTTTGGTTCGCTTCACTCGGTTTGATTCTGATTCTGTAAACTAAACATGGTCCGTTCAAAGAGATCTGAGAAATGTTTGTTTCAACAGGAGTCTTCATGATGTAAGGTGTCTTTGACTCATTGTTTGACTTGCCTTGCTCAATTCTAACAAATTCTTCGTTTGGAGGATCAAAAATTGGTAATAAATCTGACACTTTTTTGTCATAATTTTGATCGTCATCAATTGAATCCAAATTGAATTTGTTAGTTTTGTAAGTGAACTTTTCGAGAGAGAATCTTTCGCATCCGAAGAGATTTTCCTGGAGAACGCCTTTCATGAACGGAACTTGACCGAAGTTGCACTCGTATTCTCCATTTCCTCCACTGTCCAAAACGAAAGGAGTGAATTCTTCGAAGTTGGGATAATCAATGGATTGACTGAATTTTGTTCCGTTGTAGAAGAAAATTATTTTCTCCTCAGAGTAGCCAACACCAATTGTGTCTCCGTTTTGGATGTGCAGCTGTGGACCAATGACTTTGCTGAATCCGTTTGGAGACTCCATTTCGTTTGTCGGCAATGTCAATTTGTAGAAACCCATTGGAGATTTCGTATCAGCGAAACCAATTGACATATGATACAAAGGAGCTTGAACAACTTTGATCTCGAAATAGAATGGATTTATATGTGAATTCAGTGTTTTATCACCGACATACAAACAAGGAACGTTTGATTTGAACTTTCTTCCGTTTATTTCCGCACTTCCGAAAATACAAACCATTTTTGTCGGTGACTCTTTGTGTCTCTTGTTCATCATTGAGAAAGGAATCACTGTATTCATGTTCTTAACTTCTCTGTCATCAAATGAATATTTGGAATTAGATCTAACGCGTGGCGGAGAAATAGGAGGTTCTATTTCTTTCTGTATAACTTTTTCGTCAATCATTGTTGACATCTTAGTGCTGTTAACACTCAAGAAATAGTTGAGACTTGAAATTAATGATGGAATTGTCTCAAATTTTTCTGTATTTGTATTCAAAGGACTCATTGATATCAAAGAAGTGATGAAATCATCGCATTTCTCGAATTCCTGTGATAGTTTCTTATTCTGCAATATAATAGGTAGCAAAGTATAACATGATGCAATAACTGCACATCTGATACATGACACAAATTTTGACGGTTGTTCAGAAAATTTGTGATGAATGTTATTAAATAATTGAATGTTACTTTTGTTGAATTCGAATGATGGAATTTGCATTATCGAGCAAGGCATCAATCTTGATTTCTTCACAGCCATCCACTCGAGATTATTAACATTGAAACCAAACACGTCGTATGACTGCTGATCTATCTCAGAAACACAGAAAACAGTTCCATCTTCCAATGATGAATAACAACCATAACTTAGAGGCAACATTCCTCCTCCCAAAATGACGAAGGAAGCAAGTAATTGCTCGGATGCTTCTTGTTTATCCAAGCACTCTCTGATGACTAAACTCACGCGCTTCTTCAGGTCTTGGTTCACTGGATCAGACATTAAATTCCTCAAACAAAAAATTGCTTCACTTGAAATGAAAAAGTGACTTTGTAATTCAAATTTTTGGAATTCTTGGATATCGATTTTCTTTTGTATGATTGGATTAGCGATGAACATGAACAGTAGTTTGATGAAACTGTAGAAATTGTACTCTTTGTCCAAGAAATAAATTTTTTCTGGCAAATTTTTCTTCGAATTCTTCAAAAAGAAACAAAACAAACGTAAAACAGAACATAAATGTCTCGGAGTATCAACTTTGTAGTTCTTGAGAATACTAATGACATCAATGTTAACATTACTATTAATCAACAATGACAATATCATGGTAATCTTGTATTTTGTCATTTCAGAAATGTCACTTTTTTCATTAACGATAAAATCTACCAACAAATTGAAAATTTCTGGGGAAAAATTATAATTAATCAAATGGTTCAATATGAACAACCACATGTTTTCCACGAACACGTTTTCTTCTATTTCTTTCGGCTTGAAATGGACAATGAACAACAATATCTGTTTGAGATGTTTTTCATTTAATTCCCTGTGAATCAAAATTGTTTTCATGATAAACAATCTCAAAGAATTAGGAACATTTCCTGTAATCATATTAATCAAAGTGTCAAATGTCTCTGGATTCTCTGCTGCGATAATCGCCCCTTTCTTCAGTTGTGAAATGAATGCAATTTTGCCTGTGTGAAAAACGTTTTGTAAACTTAAGAATTCTTGAATCATTTGAGGGACTTCTTTCACTGACAGGACGTATTGCTTCATTTCCTTGTTCTTCTCGTAGAAGTATGACAATGGTTTCGATGATCTCAGTATCGTGAAGAATTCTATCACTGTTTTACCGAGAAATTCGTTTTTGACAAAGTATTTCGCTTTTTTGATGATTGCTTTTCGTATATCTCCTGCAATCTCCTCTTGTTTGACGATGTCTCCTACAACTGGTTGGCTCTTCTGCCTCAAAAGTGTCTTCAAACTCTGTAATCTCAATGTTATATCTTGGAATGATTTCGGAGGTTTCGCGGGATCGTAGTTCATGGCCTCTGATACAAGGTTTGCCTGTCTGAAGGCAGCTGCGATGCACGGACAGTCCATTTCGTCGTCGTTGAAGTTAGTTTGATTTCTTTTGTTGTTAAACATGCGAACATTGGATCGGATTGCGGTTACAATGGGATGTACGTTATTGTGGTCGGCCACTTTGTTCAGAAATTCCTGTTGCTCTTCAGTTAATGGGTGATCTGGTGGAATTTGGCTTTGAAGTGACTCTTCTGTTTCATCTACCGATGCAATCTGTTCGATACTCCATCCTAATGCAAAGCAGAGTAAGTTTGCGATCATAATTGTGACCATAGGAGTGATATAAGAATCTGTAATTGGAACATTAGCAGAAATGAAGCATTTGATGCCCCAATCGCTAGTGGATTCCTCTGAATGGAATAAAAACCTGCACGTATCTGAGTTTATGATGATTTCCCTTGGCCATCCTGGTCCGGCAGGTCCAGTAAGGGTTTTGTAGGCCGAGGAGCCGCCTTCTGACTTATCAAAAATCTGTAAGTAGTCTGTTGTTGCTTCTGTGGCACATTGTGGGTCGAATTCTATCTTAATTTCGGATGCACCGCACATTTCGAAGGGAGTTTCCTTATCTTGCTTGGCCGGATATGGGTGCATTGTTTCAAATGTCTGGGAGCTGTATCTGACCCTTGTTGTTCCGTTTAAAGGGTGAGATAAAATATCATCGTCGGATTTGACCGAATCTGTCTGTTTGTACTCCTTTATAAATATCTTCAGGAGCGACAGAATCGATTTTGCGAAGGATCCGAATATAATTGATGACTTTTTGTTGAGAGATAAAATTCTCGCGACAACTTGCAATATAAACTCTTCGGCGTCTTGAGGTCTGATACTGATATTCTCAAAGCAGAGGATATTTGAGAAGTAATCGATGATGGAGCTGATGTAATTCGCTAAAACATGCTCAACATTGTATTTATGTCCTGTAATGAAGAGCAGTTCGTTATTTATGAAGGGAACTTGGTTCGAAAATAGGTTGGCCAGGACAGAAGGAGTATGGTATTTCTCTAAAATGGCAACTGTGTTCTGATTTATCGAATAAATTAAGGCAACTGAGCCGTAGAGGAATGGGATTGCAGCAGCGACGTATTCATGGGATTTCTTACCAATGTTGTTAACTAATTCTGTAAAATCTGTGTAAAAGGGGTTGTATAAATATTTAAATCCAGCATTAATGACTTGGAACTCAGCGGAGATGATAGAATCAGTTGCTATATCACTTAGAGCAATTGTCTTGATAAATCTCCTGATTTTGGCGAAGATTTCTTTCGCATTTCCGTCAATAAAAGTTTCATCTTTTGAATCATAAGGAAATCTGAACGTAAAGAACCGTAAAGCAACGACCAACACCTGTAATATAAATAAAAGTATCGTTTGCCTGAAATGTACCGAGTATTCCGTCTCTTCCAAGCATTTCCAACCTAATTTCAAGCAGGCGAGCAGTGTTTCCTCTGGATTCTGCGAGATAAAGAAGTTTACGGCCTTCTTGGCTTGCGCATCTGCTTCGTGGATCGGTTTTGAGAATAAAAATTGTATCAAATTAATTAATTGGTAACTTAAGCTTAAAATAATGTCTTCCACGAACCCGCTGATATTCTCTGATGACTGTTGCTTAACGAGAGGCTCGTATGTTAAAGCTAAACCGAATTTATTATCAAATCTTTTCATTCTGTAATTTCCGGACATTTTTTCAAGAGTGTAAGTATATTGTCCGAAGCTAGTAATATATATTGCGTCAGGACATAGTATTGTCGATGGTGAATGTTTAGTTTGTGATATCTCTTTATTGGCGAACGCGAAAGGAATCATTGTTTTACTTTCTGGCGATATCAGGCATATCTCGTTGTTAAACGCTATCAGATTGCAGTTCCTAAATGGGGTCTGTATTTGGCCCTTGTTTGTACAAACCATTGTTTCGTCTCCGAGCGAATATTCCTCGACCTCGTAAGTTGTTTGGTTGTTTAGTTGGTATAAAATGTAGATAAATGAATTAAAATGCAAGAATGAGCGAATTTGATTTGGATTTTGTAAAATTCCTGCGAGATCTTTCGTAAAGGTGTAATTTTCGAGTGAGTATATTGAAAGTGCTGATTTAACATTGTCAAAAATGTATAATTGTGATGAATCATTTGTAATTAAAGAATATTTCGATTCGATCTGTAGTTTTTCGAGATTTCCCGTGACGATATCTAATTTATAAATATAATCTGCCGAAAAATATATGTTCTGTTGCGTTGCAGTGAAAGATTGTATCGCGGGCAATTCAATATTCCAAAATTTCTTCCAGTGACCGAAGTTTTCTTTAGATATTTGTGGGTAGATTTCGAGTTTGGGTAGAAGCAAGCTCTCTATTGGCGATTCGGGTGGAATACTCATTTCCACGAATAAAGAGGAGATAATTGTAGTAATTCCACCATCTATTTCGGCAACCTTGAGGAGAAAGGCGATGATTTTCGTACGAATTGAGAGGGAGCTGAATACATTCCTCGTTGCATTTGAAACTAAATACGAATTGAACTTCGATATCAGCTGTGGATTGATAGATCCATTGTCTGAGATCGGAGCTGTAAGCATCACATTCAGCAAGTTCGTAAGGACTTGGTCAAAGTCTTTCTCGGAAACTTTATCTATTTCGTCCTGTAGGCCAAAAAAGACAGAAAAAATGGCACCTAGGACGAATGGGATGTCTTTGGCTGAGCTTTTATCCGAATTGAGCGATTGGCAGGCGTTTTGCCAATTTTTTTCGTGTTCAATCGGCTCATTATGCAATTTTGACTGTAATTTTCGAATCGCATACCCATACCGGTCCGCAAAGAAGTTGACTTGAGAGAGAAAAGGCGTTATTTGGTCTGTTATTGTATTATAAATGCTCGGCTCGATCTGTTCTTGTGTAAATTTATTGGTAACTATCTTGTCGATAAGAATAGAAAACAATAAAGGCTCCACTTTCGCTTCCGGGTTCAATGGAATTGTTTTTCTGTTGTATTCCGAAAACAAAGCGGCAAGATTGGATGGGGAAAAGCATTTATCTGTAATGGCCTTAATGGTTTGCGTGTCGCCTGATGAATCAGACGAAATCCCACTACCCATAGATAAATTTTAATGTAATTTTACGATAAGTAAATTATTCAATTTAATTCATTATATAAATTTCTGCTTGTAATTGGAAATATGAAATTTCAATGCTTTAACAAGAGGGGAACAAATGTAGATCCTTTCAAATTCTTCATTTTTGACAAAATTTGCTACAGATAATCGAAATGATCCAGGGCTGACTAAGGCAAACTGTGCTTTACAAATATGCAGTTATAACTGTCCTATGGAGGCATATGGGTTATTGATTGTTTTTTTATTCACCAAAGAATTTCAAGTGATGGCAATGGTAATAAACTTATTGATGAGTTTCAATATGAATTTTTATGAATATTCTTCCTACCAACATTATTGATTTTTAGCATGGTTACAAAATCTTACGCTTTACCGGTGTAATGATTTGCCTTTGAACTTAAACTACTATCACAATAAACTTAGTATTATAATTAGTTGCTATATATGCATTCCGTAAAGTTGACAGACCTTTTATAAAATGATAAAAAAATCAAATCAATATGACTGCACTGTTAATTCCTAAGATGATAATGCGCCTTTTTGCGATATTGTTGGATTCCATTATCATTTACAGCAACAAAGAATATAATTTGAAAATAAAATCTGAATTTCAAAAGAAATGCTAATGAAATACAAAAAATACAATACTCCCTAAAAGAGTTACCTTTATAGAATTTAAAAATACTTTAGTCAATTTATAAAAATATCAAGGAAAAAAAAATTATTTATTATCGAATATTCATTGTAATTGCGACACCTTGCAATATCCAGAATGATCTATGTTCTGTTGTTTCTAAGTAAGCAGTTGTGACATAGCCAACGCCCATCGAATCGCGGCGTTTCTGAGTATTGTAGATTGGTGTTCTGAGCATGTTTTGAGTTCTAACTTTGTTCATTTCCATTGGAGTAACTTTGAGCAAAGGCAACTCCATGACGAGTTCCTTTGGTCTCTGGAGAACCAAGCATCTCTTCTCCATATCCCAGGAAGCGCCTTCCAAGTACATGCCTGAGATGTAGCAGCCGAGTGCCGGCTTCTGCATGACTTGTGATGCCTTCTGGTAGCTTGAAACAGTGATCATGAGAGTAGCCTTATCTAACGGCCATCCCTTAGATCTGCAAGCTGTCTGGAGAAGAGCTGTGAGATAAGCTTCTGGGACGTGCAATCCGGAGAGCCACATGACCTTTGGCTCACCGTTCTTGTACCAGTCTTCGTACTGTTCGTATCTTCTCTGGAAGTGCAACAACCAGTTTGCAAGAGATTTCTCTGTTTCTGGAGCGTATTTGGCCCATGACTGTGGCAATCTGCCGAGATAGATGGAGTTCATGAGCTGCTCCAATTCGTTGGACATTGAGACTTCACCAGCGATGGCGCGCTGTAATTCAGCGAGTGAAACAGACATGACTGAAACTAACTTGTTCCAGTGCTCGAGTTCTTGGATGAGAACAATTTGTACTGGAGTTGTTTCGGCGCCGAATGAAGCTCTGACTTCATTCAAATTGAACGGTGGCTTGAGCTTGAGCTGGATTTCTGTGACTGTTGCTGCGACCTGTGTTTCTCTTGAGACACCGCCTGATGTGCTCATGCTTGAGGAGTGGATGTTCATGAGGTTCTGGCACATGTCTCTTGATGCGTCTTGGTAGAAAGTGATTTCTGCATTGACGTTGAGGCCGAATACATCTGGTGTTGTGATTGGAGGTAATGTTCCAATGGCCAATGTGTACTCCTGGAGGCCGTGAGCCTTTGGAAGATCGTAAGAGCGCTCGTTGTTCTTGAAGAAGTGGAAGACCTGGAATTCATCGAACAAGAAGTCTCCCATGTACTCATCCAAGTAAGTCATGAGGATGCGGCGATCGAAATCATCTGTAACACGGCCGCCGTACATGGCTTCTCCAATCAGGTATCTGAGTGAGCCCCATGGAATCAATGTGTCCTTGTTGTCGAATGCCTTTGTGAGGTATGTTGACATCAACTTCATTGAGACAGTGAAATCGGAGTGGTTGAAATCGTAAGGAACGTTCCATCCGATCTTTCCGTACTGTCTTCTCTCTTGTACGACAGCGTGGAAGAAGGCAAGGACATAAACAAGTGGCTGGAATGCGAAGTGTGGGCATTCTTCGAACTGTTCCTCTGTGATTGTGTTGAATGACTGCTCCATGTTCAACTGAAGGCCAGATGGTGGTTCTGTGACGACCTTTCTGGCTCTCTGAAGAAGACCGACAGGGAATCTGTTTGTTGGGTCTGATGTGAGCCACAATCTGAAGTTAGGGTTAGGACGCTGTGTGGCCTTGTCGACGAGCTTTTCGAGTTCTCTGAGCCATGATGTCAAAAGGTGGCAGTTCTGGAGAATGACCCAGTGACCGCGGGAAGCACCAGTGACAAGCATCTGTCTGGCTGGTTCTTCCTGGTCTTGGCCAAGAGCGATTGACTTGACGTTGTTCTGTCTTGGCTGTCCGCCTGGTGCTGTGGCCGCTGATTCGTCGCCTGTGATGCCGAGCTCTTCTGCGAGCTTGTACAAGGCGGAAGCAGGGCCTGCACCTGGGCTGAGGATGAAGAGGACTGGGGCTGTTGGTGTGGACTGTTCGTAGAGTGACTTGTAAGAGAGAATTGGGAACTTGAGGTAGTTTGGTCCCATTGTTGACTGGACGTACTCTCTCGAAGCGAGGAAGAGTCTGTCTGGTCTGAAGCACCTCAAGACGGCCATTCTCTGCAATGGATCGAGTTTGTCGTGGTATCCCATTGGCAACTTTCCAGCTGCTTCTGGTGTTGGATCGTTGTAGTAGTTCTTCCACTCTTCCTCGTTCTCGCTGAGATCGTCAATCAATGTGGAGAATACCTGGTTAACAGTGACAATCTTCTGGAGATCCTGCCAGCCTTGGTCTGGTAACCACTGTGGGAATGGATTTGGTGAAGCGGATTTCTCGAGAGCGATGTTACCCTTGAGAAGGAAGTCGAGTGTATCTGGATCGACCTTTCCGGCTTCTCTGGCAATGCAAAGGGACATGTGAAATGCGTACATTTGCTTGTGGCGTTCGAACAAACCAGTCAAGACGTACTCGAATACGTTCTTTGTCAAGTGGTCCAAGATGTTTGTGATTCTCTTGGAGATGACTGTTGTTGGAGATGATGTCTTCAATGAGTTCAAGAAGACTTCGCTAAATGAAGCAAGTGAGTACTCGTACATTGTGTTGATTGAAGACAAGTTGTTCATTGAGAAGAATAAAACAGAACCACGGCGAGCGACTGGAAGGTACTCGTTGTAGAGAGCATCGAGTTCGACTGTTGTCTTCTGAGCTGCTTCGAGCTTGACTGAAATATCAGCAGCTTCTGTCTTTGTTTCTTCGAGTGTTGCGAGAAGCTGTGCGTTCTCAGTGATATCGCCTTGTGACTCTGAAAGCAACTTAAGGAGTGTTCTCTGGAGGACCTGAAGACGGCGCTTGTTGTCGGATGTCTCCTTGACAAGGGATGTCTTCTTCTGGTGCAATTGTGTCTGCTCGTTCTCAATGACAATGTCGAGGAGCTGCTCCTGAAGACCTTGCTCTGTGACGCAGCAGTTGACAATGGCGACAGAAGAGGAAACTTCTGGTGAATAGTTTGGTGATGTCAACTTTGTTGTCATGAAGAGCTTGAAATCTGGATCGTAGTCAAGATCTTTATCGTTGAACTTGATGATCTTTCTTGAGCCCTGTGTGATGACGTGTCTCTCGAGAATTGGTGTGATGAGTGGATCGATGAATTCATCGATACCTTCGAAGAGAACGCCTGAGCCGAGGGAAAGAGCGTTTTCGATGTGTCTGGAGAATTCTGGATCCTGGAAGTTTGTTGAATGCAATGAGTTTCCTTGGTGCTGCTTGATCCATCTGACGACCTGCATTTGTGGATCGATACAGAGTGGGAATCTGTTTGCTCTTGTGATGAGGAGAGCGTTCTGGATGGAAAGTTCATCGGCAGGAAGTCCTTCGCCTCTCCAGCCGAAGATTTCTGCTTCGTCGGAAAGGAAGTTCTGAAGAGAGAAGTCTGGTGTAACTGGGACACCTCTCTCGATGAGATCTGCCTTGAATGTGTCGTACAAAAGCTGGTTTCTGTACTGTTGGTTGAATGGGCCTAAGTAGCAAAGGAAGGCAGCGCCGAGAACTGAATCACCGACAACTGACTCGAGCTGCTTCTTGAAGTTCTCTTGGTCTTCTGCCCATCTGACCTTTTCTGATGCGAAACCAGATGTAAGACGCTTAGCTGCATCAAGACGTGCTTCCAAGATATCCTGTGATCTCTGGTTCTCTTCCTGTTTCTGCTTACCAACTTCGAGCTGGTGAATAGCAGCCTTTTGTGTGGCCATGGCCTTCTGGAGGTCATCCTCGATTCTCTTGAGCTCTGCCTTTGATGCCTCGAGTTCTTCCTCCATTTGGTGGGCTGTATCTTCGAGTGGCTTGATCTTCTGATCGGCCTCATAGTAAGCGTAGATGTTGACTGTCCAGTTGAAGAGTTGTTCAATAGCAACACCTGCCTTGTGGACTGATTCTGGGTTGGACTTGAGAGGAGCCAAATATTGAGCGACACGGTCCATCTTCTTCTTGTTCTTGCAACGTTCTCTGACGCTGTAGAGCTTCATCTTCTGAAGGAATGCTGGATCAGCCATGTAATGCTTAGCCTTTTCCCATGATTCCTGGCCTGGGCCATCGTTGAAGAGTGCGCAGATCAAGTTACCAATTTCTTCACCAATTGCGGATGGTTTGTTCATGGACTTGAAGGCAGCGTATTCCTTAGGATTGATGTTACTGGCTGCTTCTTGGGCGGCGATGAGAATTGGCTGAGCTTCTTCAAGAGCTGCGTGTGCGTCTTTGTTCTTTTCGTTGATTTCAATCAACTTGATTTCGTTTTCTTTCTTCTTAACTGTAGCCTGTTGCATGAGTTCTTCTGACTTGGCTTTAGCAGCGTTTGCTTCTTCAAGGGACTGTTCGTTCTCCTTGATGATCTTCTGCAAACCAGCTTGTTGTGTCTTGAACTTGGCGTTGAGGACTTCGACTTCTTGTGCGGAGTGGATGATCTTTTCGAGACCTTCACCAAGCATCTGGATCTGCTGCTTGTTGTACTGGTTCTTCTGGACGAGGAGTTTGCGGAATGTTGAGATGTAATCAAGGAAGTTTGTTGGAGTAATGTGGACTGGTCTTCTTGCGATTGCTGAGAATGGAATGGCCGATTTAACGACCTGTTCGTGAGTGAGAACCATGTTTGCAACGACATGTGGGAAGATGTTCTCTGGGATGAGAGCGGCTTCTTCCTCGAGGAAGTGCTTTGCGACAGCTGTAAGAGCCTCCTCTGGCCATGGATCGAACCAGTCGATGACTGTGTTGTTGACGAGACCTGGGAAGTCACGGCAACGGCGTCTGAGTGAATCGCCTGATGGAGAGAAGCAGAGAACGATGTGGAGGTTATCACGGCATCTGTCGATGAAGACTCTCCAGCAGTTTTCTGGTGAATCGAATAGACCCATTCTGATGACATCTTCTCTGACAGCTGAGCAGAATTGCTCCTTGTCATCGGATTCGAACAAAGCTGGAACGACACCGGATGTGAGCATGTTGTTGACGATTTCGAGGAAGCCTTCGTTGACGATGTGTGCATCTGAGAAGAGGAAGACGACCTGCTTGCGTTCGACACCGACCATCTTGTAGAGCTTGCGAAGTTCTTCTCTGAAATCGTTCTCGTTGTATGTTCTTGTGAGAGTGATTTCAAAGACATCGTAGCCAGCAGCGAATGCAGCCAATCTTGTGAGAGACTTCTTACCAGAACCACCGATACCGATCAAGAGAGCGTTACCACGTGGTGTTCTGATGATTCTCAAGATACGTGTCAAGTGCTCGATAACGTAGTTGAACAAGATCAGGTTGGATGTTGTCTTCTTCGCGATGGAGTAATCTTCAAGGAGTTCTGTGAAGTGCTTGAGAAGTGGCTCGTATCCCTTGAGATCCTGGTAAATGGCTGGTCCATCGCCACCTTCGTTGATGAAGTCACCGAATAAGGATGGATTGGCGAGGGCTTCGTCTCTGACACTTGGGAAGTGGATGTCGATAAGAGACTCAACTTTGTTCATTACGAAGTTTCTGTCATCCATGTTGATAAGACGATCGTGGAATACACGAAGGCACTCGTTACGCCACAAGTGGATGAACGGACCGAGTGTTGGGAACTTGGATGGTGTTGACTTGCAGATACCTTCGAAAACTCTTGAAAGATCACGAAGGTTGAACAAGTAGTGGAACTTTGATGGTGTTGGAGGCAACTTAGCAACAATGTCCTCGTAGAATGTGATTGTTGCGTCGATGACTGTCTTTCCTGCGTGCTGGATTTCTTCTGAGAAGTTCCTTGTGTGGTGGTTCATGATTGTGTTGAAGATGTGGTGAAGTGATTCATCAGATGGAGAAATGACGTGGATGATGTTGAACAATGATGTGAAACGTGGATCCAACATCGCACGGGCACCACCTGGAGGAGCCATGGCTGAGATGTATGAAACCTTGTTGACATGGCGCCAAATGAGATCGCCACCGCGCTCGTACATGCCTCCTCTGTCAATGAGAAGCTTGAGCAAAGCGATTGGCTGCTGTGTACCGTAGATATCGACTGTTGGCATGTTGACATCATCGATGAACAAAATCATGTCCTTGCCACCTTGTGGAACAGCGGAATCCTTTGTTGGGTAATCGAAGTTTTCTTCAAGAGACATCTGAACATCCATTGATGTTGTGCAGTTGGAGAAGTTGAGTGTTCTTGTCATGAAGGCGTCCTGATCCAAGTTGGACATGAAGTTCTGGACAGCGGCTGTCTTTGCAGTACCGGACTTACCAACAAACAAAAGTGGTCTGTGGACCTTGGAGACAATTGCCTGGAGCAAGAACTGGTTACGAACTGTGTCGACTGTTGGAACAATGATGGAGTTGAATGGAGCACCAACAGGGATCTCGTAGCCGCCGATTCTTGCTGCCCATGGAACCCATTGTGCCTGTTCGATGTTGAACTCGAACTCGTACAATGTTGGTGATGTACCTGGTAACTGGCCAGCCTTTGCATAACGGCCTGGTGCATCGATGACAACCCAGTTGGAGAGGCGCTTGACGAACTGGTCGAACTTGAGCATTGAATCTTCGACGAGTTGGCCACCGAGAGACCAAATGATAGCGAAGATGAAGAGGGACTCAATGACTTCGGCGTCCTTGAGTTCCTGTGATTCTGGTGGCAAAAGTGCCTCGATGATTGTGCAGAGCTGTGCAACCATGTTCAATGGTGTGACAGGGATGATTGTCTGGAGTGGTGGTTGTGTGCCTTGGTCGCTGACCTTTCCGAGGATGAAGTTGACGCATGGTGTGACGTAGCGCTCGAAGAGGCCGTTGAGAATTGGAATCTCGGCGCGCTTGTGCATTCTGAGCCATCTCTCGTAGTATGGAGTGAATCCGAGGTTGCGAGGATCCATGAAAACCATACCGCAACGAGAAACTGTAGCTGGAGAAGCGTATTGCAAGTTGCCGACTTCGAAAAGCAAAGCGCAGTGTGGCATCAAACGAATACGTTCTGAGTTAGCAAGTGTCAAAAGTTTGTTATCATCCATGACGGAGTTCATGTTTTCGACCCAAACAGCATCGACATCACCATCGAAAACGATGTATCTGGCTTCCTTCTTGTCTGTTGCCTGGTTGATGTTCTTGAAGATCTTTGAGAACAAGCCCCACTTCCAATCACGTGTTGTTGGATCCAAGACACCGTAAAGCTCTTGAACTGTGCATGCCTTTGGATTGATTGTGTAGAGTCTTGTGAGTGTTCCAAGTCTTGTTTGTGCCTTGGACAAAACGTCGATGATGACAGACTTGCCACCGCCTGTTCCACCGACAACCATTGATGTGTGTCTTGCACCCATTGTTTCGTGAAGCTGAACGACTTTGTCCATTTCTTCTGTCATCTTTGAATAGGACAATTCGTTGAAGATTTCAGCTGTCTTTTCTGAGAGTGTTGGATGGTGGATTGGCTCGAGTTCGACATCTGGGAAGAGGTCATTAAGCAAGCCAACGAAAAGAGGAGCATCTTCGAAGATGAACTTTGGCATGTTCATATCTCTGATGGCTGTCATCAAGACGACTTCTTCTCTCATTTCAACGTTTGCGCGCTTGAGTTCACCAGCACGTCTGAGAACGGACTTAAGAGCACGAAGACCCCAGTCGTAGTGGTGCTGCTTTGAGAGTTGACCGGCAGCCATTTCGTAGATTGTGATCATCTTTCTTGCGAGCATGTGTGTGTTTGTTTCGAAACCTTCTGAGAAGAGCATAACCTCGCAAATAAGTTCTTTATCTGGGACGACCATAACGACTGGTCTGAACATAGCCTTCAAGTTATCTGGAAGTTCGGAACGGCCGGCGTAACCTGGGTTCATTGTGATGAAGATACCGAAGTTTGGATTGAGTGGGATCTTTCTGCCTTCGAAAACGAACTGTCTGACACCAGCTTTAGCAGCGGATTGGATGATTCTGATGTGGCCGGAAATAACGGAAAGAACTTCTGGTTCGATACGGTTGAATTCATCGAAGCATCCCCAGCCACCTGTCTGGACGAGACCTGAGAAGATTCTAGCCATAGCCTTGTGATCCAAGCCTTCACCGCAGTTGAAAACGTTGCACAATCTGCACATGGCCTTGGCGAGATCCTTAACTGTCTCTGTCTTGCCTGTACCTGCTGGACCAGCTGGAGAACCGCCGAAGCCCATGGAAAGAGCCTGTGTGAGTGTCATGATGCATCTGTCTGTAAGAGGAGTGATGACGAGACGGCCGTTGAGACCCATGTATTCGTAGGCTGTCTGGAATGTGCCTGTGCACTGTCTGATGGAGACATCATCTGCAGCACGGTCCCAGTAGTATCTGAGTTGTGATTCCCACTGGAATTCTCTGGCATCGAGGATTGAATCTCTGACAAAGCCATCGACTAAATCACGGGCGTGGACATCGACGATGATCAATGTGTTGATCTTAAGACGTGATTGTCTGTCGAGGTTAGATCTGACCAATCCGACGATATCTGTGATTTGGTTGATCAATTTCTGTCTCATCTGCTTCATGGCGAGTTTGTTTCCTGCTCTGACTTGTCTGAAAGCATCTTCGACTTCGTATGTCCACCAAATCTGTGAAACCATGAGAACGCACATACCGATGTAGTTCATGATCCATGTTGTACGTGATGACTTTGGATATGCGATAACTGACTCTTTCATGATCTGATGGAGTGTTGTCTGCATCTCGTGTTCGATTGAAAGCATCCAGTTTTCGACGGCGCCTTCGCATTGAACAGGTGTTCTGAACTCGTATTGTTCCTTCTCTGATGAGATCATACCTGTTGCGTTTGTTGAGCCACGAGACTGCTTGAAGATAAGGGACTCGCAGTTATCGAACAACTTGATCATGTGCTGCTGGACGGATGTTGGATCACCAGAACCGAGGATGGAAAGCAATTCATCATCGGAAATGAAGAAGAAACGTGGGAACGCGCAACGCTTTGTTTCGAGATAATCAGAAAGAGAGCGCTGGCACTTATCAAGTGATGTTGCGAGGTGCTGTAATGTGTTCAATCTATCTGGTTGCTTGGCTGCGTAGATGATTAATGTGTTCTTCTTTGTTTCCTGCATTAATCTGTTCCACTTTTCATCAATTCCTTTGAACATTGCTGCTTCTTCTGGAAGTTGCTGCTTGATATCTTCTGAGCCAATGAAGATTGACTCGAGATACATCCACTTGAGCTGTACTTGCAACCAGACTTGGACTAAATCTGTGATCTGTGAAAGCAAGACTTCCCAATCGTGGACAGCGCGTGAGAAGTAAGCAACGAATCTGGATGATGAAAGTGTCTGGAGTTTCATCTTGTTATCATCGAGAACAGAAAGAATTTCATCGATACCTGAGAGAATCATACCACGGACTTCTGTTGATGTTGGTGTTCTCTTGTAGTCGTGGATTGTGAATCTCATCTTGTTCCATGTATCGGATAATTCCTGGATACCTTTTTCGATGGACAATTCTTTCATGGCTGTGACTGTAACTTCAGCAATGACATCAGCGAATTGTGTGAGGTTCATCTTGAAAATGTTGGCCAATGTGACAGCGTTTGGCTTGAAATCAATGCCAGCGCCGGTCTTGACCATCATCTCTGACCAGTGGCGGTCTCTGAGTGCGTCGTTCTTGAGATCCTGGAAGATTGGAAGTGATTCTTTGAACTTGGCGAGATCGTTCTTGATGTATTCGTATGGAGGAAGACCACGGAGATCACGTGGTAACTTCCTAAGTGCGGCTTCGAAGCCATCGACACCGTTAATTAACATGTTGATGTCGACTTCGCTCCATAACATCTGTGACCACTCATTCATTGTTCTTGTCTGGTCATCGTACAACTGATAAATCTGCTGGAGATTGTTCAATGTTGCACCGATGTTTGTGAGTTGTGGGAAGGGTGTCTTATCAATTCCGAACAATTTCTCAGCGAGATACAATTCATCTCTTCTTGTTGTGAGGTCTTTGAGTTCTTGCTTGAACTTAATAACCAATTCAAGACCTTGGTCCATTGGTGTGTCGTTGTTTCCTGGACCTTCGTTGTTGAACTTCTCAGCGAATTTCTGAACGATTCCGATGAATTCATCAACTTCATCCTTTGTGAGTTGTGTGAACTTTTCTTTCGTTGTTGTCAAAGAAGCATCAAGAGACTTTGACTCTGCCATGATATCAACCCATCTCTGTCTGAACTTGGCAATCAATGCGTCAGAACCTTCTGGATGTGGTAAGTTGTAGCATGTGAGTGTTCTTGCGCGTTCTTCGATGTTGTCCATTGTTCTTTCGACATTGACGGAGTTATCGCGTGCCTGGTTGATTGTCTGGAGAACGAACTCGAGGTCAGAACGTTCGTTCATCTCCTTCTTCATGTCCGTCGCGATCTTTGTGAGGTTGGCGTCCATCTCCTGAACTTCTGAGTTGAGGATATCAGAAAGAGCACCGCCATAACCAGCGAGCCATTGTCCACATTCTGCTTTGATTGAATCGATGACTGGCTTGAATTCGACAGTTGCAAACATGATGTCGCAGCTGTGCGGAAGAGCTGCAACTTCCAATGACAAACTTCTGTATTTAGCGAGGTTTGCATCGAATTCTGCAATTGTCGGATCTTTGTTCTTGAATTGTTCGATGATTGTCTTTCTGTCTTCAATCCAAATTGGCTGGTATTTGTTGAAATTCTCTGCTTCTTGTTCGATCTTCTTGCAGAGTTCTTCTGTGCTCTTAAGAATGTCGTTGTGCAATTCCATGACTTTCGCACTTTGTTGGACTCTCATGCCGAAGTGTTTCAACTCGACTTCTGAGTCTTCGTTTCCTTGCTGCTGTAATGGAATGATGCATGTTCCTTCCTTCCATTGCAAGCAGACATTCGCTGTTGTCAAGATCATTTTAACAAGTTTTGTCATGATCTTTGTGATGCCATCGAATGCTGGTGTGTAAGCAATCTTTGGTGGTGCCAAACGAGCTTCGACAGTGAACTGTGGCTTCTCAATGAGCATCTTTAATTGGATGAATGACAAAAGTGTTGATCTTGTCAATGCATTGAGAATTCTGTTCTCCCAAAGAATGTAGTATTCCTGGAGAGCCTTGTTGATGCTTTGTGTCTGGTCTTTGGCCTTTGGATTCTTTGTCTTCGTCGCTTTATCATTGACAGAAATAACAGATAAAGCGTTACCTTCGATGATACGTAATTGAGGTGGAATATCGATGAACTGAGATAAAATCTCTTTCTGCATCTGAGAGTGATATTCCTGGACAGCGTTTGCGAAGTCAGACAAGAGCATTGGGTCACTGCACTTCATGACCATTGATGGGACAGTGCAGCAGTCACCAATGAACTTGACAGCCTTGTTGATCTTCTGTACATTGGAGGAGACAGAGTTGACAGCGGACTTGAACTGGTGAATTGCTCTCTGGCAGCGGCCAAGGAATTCATGGACACCGAGAGAGTTCCAGTTGAGATAGGAAGCACCATCAGAAAATACTTCTTCGACAGCGTGCATGCAGCCAGTGATGATTGGAACTTCATCAGCGTTTATTGAGTTGAGTGTTTGGTTCCAATCAGCGAGCATTGTCTCGAGAAGTCTCTGGAGTTTCCTGTAGTGAGGATACTGGAGGAGAACGTTGACAACATCCAAGGAGAGCTTGTAGCCCATGCGCTCGAGATGCTTTGCTTCGTTGATCAGCTGTTGAAGTGATGGATCGAAGTTTACAAAGTGCTTTACAATTTCAGTGTTGTAAAGTTTTCCTTTTGTTGTTCTGAGAATTGGCTTCTCTAGAGCTGTCCTTGCGATGGACTCTGTCTTGGAGTTCCACTCGTTGAAGACTTGCTGGTTGTTCTTGTCGATCAACTTGGCAACTTTCGTGTAGTGATCCTTGACATCCTTGTAAGAAGCAGCGGAAGTGATCTGTGGATGCATTCTGAGTCTGAGAATTGGCTTCTTCATGCGGATGAAGAGAGAACGTGCCCAGGAAATGCGTCCTGTAACTGGTGGATGGTGTGGAAGGATCGGTGGATTGGCCCACTGTGTGTTGTAGAGCTCTTCAATCGCTGTGACTTCTTCTGAGTACTTTTCAAGGACATCTGTGTACTTTGTGTCCATTTGGGCCTTCATGTCGCCTGCAAGCTGTACTTTCTTGAATCTGTCGAGTAAATCAAGACCAGCTTCGGAGCTACGAAGGTCTTTGAATGATGTATTGATGAGCTGTGTTAATTGCTCCTGAATCTTGTTGTGACCACTGAGGAAACGGGAGTAGGAACCTTCCCAGGCGGATCTAAGCCTCTTATCGAAGATTTCGTATGGTAATGGATCGAGTGCGGAAACTAAATTGTCAACTTGTTCGCGAGTTTCATCGATAACACGTGGATTGTTGGTAACGGACTTGAGCTCTGGGCCGAGAATGAGGTAAAGCTCTTGTAACTTCTGAGCAATGTTGATTAATTCGCGGCAACGTTCGTGGATATAAGTTGGTCTCTCGAAAAGACGGGAAACTTCGAAGTCCCAACGAGGAATGTGGTTGGACTTTTCGATGAGAGCACGTGTCTCGTTGAATCTCTCGTGCCAGTGTGTCAAAACCATGTAAGCTGTGTTTGTATGTTGAATTGCTTTGTCAAGAGGTCCATGGAGCATGGATGTCTTGATTTCTGCTTGTACACGGTCGCAAAGTTGCTGGGAAATACGCTCGATAAGTGGTGGCATGATTGTATCATTGTTATAATAATTTGATGTGATCCAGATCAAACGGAGAGAGTCCATGATTGATGGAATTGAGTTGTAGACTGTTTGAAGTGGAGCTGTTTCGAGGTTTCTGAAGTGTCTTTCTAAGAGAGAAAGGAATTCAACGTTGCTCTTTGCTTCCTTGACATATCTGTCAAGTTCATCCATCTGTGTAGCGAAGTTTGGAACAGCTTGTGAATCGATGTGCTCTAAAATCTTGATGATCTCCGGAATTACTGGATTATGTAATTGTTCGAGAAGAGATGATGATGTAATATAGCGAGATCTCCAGAGCTCGACTTCAGCGAGTGGGCCTGGTGATGATGGCTGTTGCTTTGTAAGAGTATCGATTGTACGAGAAATTAATGTAATGTAAGAATCGAGTGCTTGATCAAGTTCAGCGCAATATTTCTCATCTTGAGCGAGGCGTGCTGGATCACCCTGAGAAATTGTTGGGAATTTAATATCGTGTTTTGTTTGTAATTTCGTTACAGAGTGATTGATTTCATCGACAAACTTGCTGAATACTGAAAGGAAATCAGCATCGACACCAGCTGCCAGAGGATCAGACTCTGGATGTTCTGGTGGAGCATCGCATTGAGTTGAGAAAACAAGTTTGTAGACACTGTTAAGAGAAAGAGAGAGGCCTTCGAGGCAGTTACCTGGAATGACCTGGTATGAGAAACACTTTTCGATTTTCTTTGGATCACGAGGAATTGATCTACGTGGTCCTACGAGACTGTAGAAAGCCATAACACGTGCATCATTTGGCAGTGATGGTATTTCATCGAAGTAAAATGTTAAATCAGTAACGTGAACTTCTAATTGTTTGTTAGCTTGAGGTTTTTCTTCCTCTTCTTCTTCCTCCTCTTTCTTTTCGCCTTCAGCTGGTGGAGCGCCTTCGGCAGGAGCACCTTCCGCTGGTGGCTCTGCTGCTTCAGCTGGCTTCTCTGCAGGTGGAGCTTGTTCAGCTGGTGGATCTGCTGGTTTTTCTTCAGCAGGCTTTTCAGCTGGCTTGTCTGTAGCTTCTCCCTCTGCAGGAGCTTCACCTTCTGCTGGCTTTTCTTCGCCTTCTTTAGGAGGTTCGGAAGGTTCTTCTTCTTCCTCTTCTTCCTTTCCTTCGTCATTTTCGATAGTTTCTGTTCTATCAACGGCGCTGAAAATTATTGCAGTTCTATTTGTTTTGCCATTTAGGAAGTCAGCTAATTCGAATTTTGTAAGAACTTCGACAAATTGTTCGCGTGGAACATCTGTCAATGAAAGACCTAAGACTAACTTTGTCTTAAGCCATTCAAGACGTTCATCAGTAAATAAAGCTTCTTCCTGTTTAGACATATATAATAATTATATAACGGTTGAACCAGGTTTACAACGTATTTTTCAAGCGATTATTTTCCCCTCAAATGTTGATCGTCATTAAAAATGGAGGTCTTTTCTACCACTTTCCATGCATGTCAGAATTATATTAATATAACCATATGATGCTATTTCCCAAGCCAAATCAATCGATATGCACAGACAATTAAAAAAGGCAAAAAAAATTATACAAGATTTTAAATTACGAATAAGATAAGAAAATTCCGTTTGTAATTTGCAAAGATTAAGATGGTTACTCAATTTTAACTACAGAAATTACTTCAAAGCATAGACAACGAAAAAATATATTCTTACAAATAATATTTTGTCGTTGAATTTTTCTGAAAGTATGCTCTATGTATTTATTGCCCAGAGTTATACATATGCTATGCTTGTTTGTCTTACCTTTTATTTGATAAATTTTTTGGAATTGTCTTGAGATTTTGAGATATTTTATAGGGAAATTTTTATTAAGAACCTAGTTTCCTGATTAAATTTCATAGCCATTTGAAGATATTGTTATAAAATCTGGGATTGTCACTTTTTAGGAAGTGTACGTTTAAAAAATGCGGGGTGTTCCTTCGACAAGGAAACCTACTGCATCTGAGATAGCTCAACAGACAAAAGAGATGTTTGATAATGTAGGTTTAGATATTCCGCCAAATGAAGTTAAAAGTGATGAGCAAGCAGCGGAATTAACGAAACATCTCGTCTCTATGATTCAAAGTTCTTCCGAATGGGATGATATTATTGCAGCTGAAACTCAAGCTATGTCATTCATTAATGGTGGGGCTTTAAAATTCGATAGTTTCAAAAAAGGAATTCCTGATTTATATTTAGGACTCACATATGGAGCAACAAATTCAAGAAGCGCATTAGTTAAAACAAGTTGTTTATTAATTTCATTACTTGCAAGAGAATTAGGATCTGATTTTGATACAATGGGTGATTATATTACACCACTTTCAAAGCAACTTGCAAATGGTACTCAATTTATTGCTGATTGCGCAAAAAATACAATCCTTACTATTTCTAAATTCTGTCCTGGAAGAAAAACTTTTCAAAACATTTTATCATTCTGCTCATCGAAAGGTAGTCAGCAAAAGCTGGTAGCAAGTATGTGTTTGAACAATATAATGCAAAATTGGCCTGCTGAGAGCTTGGGAACAAATTGGCCAAGATTTTATAATTGCTTAGCAAAATTTTTAGAAGACGCATCTCCTTTTGTCAGACAATATGCAAGGAAAACTGCAAGATCGATTAAAACATGCTCAAAGCAACGCTCTGTAGAGTTTTTCAGTAGATTAGATTCCAAAATGAAAAAGAAAATATTAGAAGAAAACGATGATGGCGTTTACAAACCTCGTACACAAACTAAACAGACCCCTGTTAAGATAGTAACAGAAGATCCAATCGAAAAACCGCAAAAGCCGCCTAAAGTAATTAAAACACAGAGGCCTCCACAAAAGCAAGATTTCTCGCCTCGTCGTGAACCTGTTGAACGTAGAAGAGTATCTGCTCTTGCTCCAAAGGCACCTAGATCTCAACAAGAAAGACCTCATTCTTCAATTCCAGTTAGATCAAAGAAACCAGAGCCTCCTCAACCTGTTGAGAAACAACCTCAAGACAATGTCTTATTAGATGATGATAGTGAGCCTGAAATCACTCCGTTCGAATTTAATAAGCCAAGTCAGAGGAATTTTTATCGACTTGCAGCTGGAAAAGAGATGGAATATGTCACTCGAATCAGAGATGTTATTGATAGAGGTGCAACATCTGAAATTATTAATTCGATGAAAGATGTTTCCAAGGATTTAGTAAGATGTATGCTCTGTGATGATTCTAAGCTTTGTGTTTCAAGTTTGGCAGCTGTTCATGATTTGATTCAAATCTTTCCTGATAACTTTGATCCACATTGCACAACAATCATTCACAGATGTCTGCAATTATGTTCATCATCAAATGACCCTCGTGTGGTTTCAAACGCAAAAATAATATTAGATTCAGTCCCTCCATTAATGAATTGTAAGACAATCATTTCTTCTTGTGAGAAGGAAAATCCTTCACTCTTCTTATTAAGTTTGATTTTATCATGCATATCTAATGAGAAATGTAATCCATTTCTTACAGATGTTGTTGTCAGAACTACTGCACTTTCTATTGCTGTTGATTCATGTGATTTATCTGGTGACAGATCAATGGAATTATCACGTCAGGTATTCAAAGTTATCTTTGAAAAATGCGGACCATCAGCTTTGACAGAATTTGAAGCCAAGATATACTGTGATAAAAGAAGACTATCGTCATTTAAGAAGATTTGCGAGAATGATACTCAAAATATACTTACAGCTGTTGATACAAGCGTTAATGAATATAAAAGCCAAATCCCTGATCTTACAAGTTATAAAAATAATTTCAAGGATTGGTGCAAAGCTATGGAAGATTTCTGTAATCAATTTGACAATGAAACATGGAGCACCATTACTTCGGCATTCTGTTTATCAAAGATATCAGATGTTATAAGTACAAACATTCAAAAGACGGATATCCATCCAGCTTTATTTTTGATACAAAGATTATTATCTAGTAGAGGAACAAGTTCATATTCATCATTTTTATATGCTGTTATGCTTTGTAAATCTGATGAAAAATACAGAAGAACATGCGAAAATATTCTTAGTTCAATTGAATTTGGTGTCAAAACTATACATCTCTTGTCATCATTACAGCCATTGATAAGAGAAAGTAATAAGATAGTTTCGAATAATAGCATTGTCTATCAAAGGAAAGTCATCCGTTCAACCACAGCATTAGAATTTAAAGAGATTTCCAGTGATGTTGTTTGTTCTCTTTGCGACATCATCGATTTTGAAGTAGATTGTGATAGAAGTCGTAGAGTTCTTTGTGCAGAAGCTCTTGCTGATATCGCATTACTTGAAGGTCAATGTTTCTATAAGGAAACAAGATATATTTCTCTTGCTCAAACATCAAAAGGTTTAGTCGAAATTGCAATTGCATCAAGAAAAACTTAATCTTTAATATATTTGTTTTTATTTTGTTTGATTAAAATATGTTTATATTACGTAAAATTGGAATCTTGATACATGGAATCAGAAACATAAGAAGAATATCAAACTTGAAATATTGCTTTCAGAATTCAAAATATGTTCATATTTTTTAACAAAACCATTGCATTCATTACTCTCTTCAATCAGAAAGAAATGCATAAATTCAACGAAATTTTTATTATTTTAAATTGATGGATGACTCCATATTTAAATAACATATTTGCCTTAAATGGAGCTAAAATATTCATTCTTGAAAGCACAGAACAAAAGAATATAATAAAGACATCTCAAAATAACAATGTCATCAGGAGATATTTTTGGAACTGAATGCCTATAAGTAGGATAGCATATTCACTCATTGCAAATAAACATTTTAAGGAGTGTATCAAGAATCTAAAACACAAACTTCATCGAAATGGATAAACGTATAATAAAACAAGAATAGATCAAAGAAAGGATTGCAATCCATGTGTTTCACTATTCGTTAATAGGGTGGTCCTGACACTGATCTACCGATTTTCGAAGTAATCAATGAAGTTTACATCTTCACAAAAATTGTAAGGATTTTTTTCTCAATTCTTCGAATCAGAAATTTTCCTATTGATATTGCATACACTTTGGTAATTAAGAATATGATCTGAAATTTTTATCGATCAGTCCTCAAATGTTACTTGGTGAGAAGGCGCCTCCGATTTATCGAGTTGTTACAATCGGTGATGCGTCAGTAGGTAAGACATCCATAATCAACAAACTGGTGCACAACGAGTTCAATAAAAATGAGCAAACGACAGTTGGAGCTATGTTTGTAATGCATTTGTCGCAGGTTGGCGGTGATCACGTAGAGATGCAAATATGGGATACAGCAGGACAAGAAAAATTCAGAGCTTTAGGTCCAATTTATTACAGAAATGCAAATGTCGGAATCATTGTTATAGACATTACATCAATAAGATCATTTGAGCACGTTGAGGAATGGATAATTAACTTCAGACGCATAGCCGGAAATGACGCTCTATTAATTGTTGCGGCAAATAAAGCAGATATGGCTTCAGAAAGACAAGTTAGTGATGATATGCTTAACCAATGGTCAGAAAAAACTGGAATGAAGTGGTTCCTTACTTCAGCTCTTGATGGAACTGGTATTCATGAGATGTTTAACTACATTGCAGATCATCTACTTAGGAATTCGCCGCATGGAGTTCCTATTTCAACTCCTGCTGCAAGGCCAAATCCTTCAAGCAACAAAAATTCTGAAAATTCCGGTTGTGCTTGCTGATATAGTTTTTAAACACAATTCTATCGTATCTTTCAATCATACTTCTAAAGTGTTGTTCTTACTGTTGATAATTTCCCAAATTATTTAGAAAATATTATTTTAATCTCAAGTTTGGGAATAATAATTAATCACTATGAAGTTATTTCATATGAGAGACATTGTATGAAATTATTTCTTAACTACTCTTGAGATATTTTGAAATTTTTAATAGTTTTTGAATTGAGCATCCAATCTGTTGGTATATCTTTCTATTATGACTTAGTTATTTATTTTCTGGTGATAAATGTTCATTTTCCAGAAAAAGATATTCTCGATCAAAGAAAAATCTTTTCTATGAACAAATCTTCTCTGATTGAGCTGCATTTTGACGTGGCAATGTTAATTACGTTGACATAATATTTTAAATTTTATGTCGCTTTCTCCTGATCAATTGAAAGGTATCAATGACGTTGACAAATTGAAAGAAATTTGTGCAACGTTAATGAGAATTAAAGAAAAGGAGACCACCTCAAAGAACAAAGCGCGTGAAATTGCTCAATCTCTTCAACAAACTCTTCAAACAAAGGAATTAGAATTAAAATGCTTAAAAGAAAAGGTTGAGACACTTAATACTATCATTAAAGAAATGTCGGCTAAGCAGGATGAAAAGAAAGAAGAGACCAATAATTTAATCCAAATTGATTCGAATCAAAACTACGAAAATGAAATCAAAAACCTCAAGTCTCAGCTTGAAGAAAGCAATAAACTATACAATGATGAAAAAGAAATAGTTGATGAACTTGCTTCGATTAAAATTCGCTTAGAACAAGAAATTTCGGACTTAAAACAAAACAATGCAGCATTATCATCCAATCAAAACTCAAATGATGAACTTTCACAGCAAATTTCCGAGCTAAAATCAAAATTACAAGAAAAAGAGAACGAAAATCAAAAAATTATTAATCTTGGTAAATCGAAAATATCTGACCTCGTATCACAATTACAATCTGCGCAATCTCAGATCGAATCTCTCAAATCTGAAAGAGATAAATTACGAAATGAAAATTTGAGCTCATCTAATATGAACGAAGCGGATAAAACAGCAATTGAAAACTTACAAAAGTCCGTAGATCAATATCAAAGCCAAAATTTCGAAAACCAACAGAAAATTCAACAACTTCAAAATCAAATCAATCAGCAAAAGGAAAACTACGAATCAGAGATTTCTAAACTTACAGAATCAGTAAATACTAAGACTCAAAGTTTAGAAGAACTCAAAAATAAGCTTGAAGAAGCTGAAAAACAAAATAAAATTTTCGAAACAAATTCAAAAGAAGAAAACGCCAAATTTAATGCAACAATCAACGATTTGAATGCTAAAGTACAAAGTCTTACAGCAGAAAAAGCAGAAATGTCAAAGGAAACTCAAAATATAAAATCTGAGATCGAATCTTCCAAAGCAAATCAATCAGAAACCATCAAAAAACAAACTGATGAATATGAAAGTAAGATTAAAGCACTAAATGATCAGTTAACTGAACTAAAACAAAAATTAGAAACATCCGAAAATAATTTGAAAGAAAAAGAAGACCAACTTACGGATTTGAACTCCAAATACTCTGAAAGTCAACAAAACAACAAGAATTCTGATCAAATTCTTCAAGAATTAAAATCTAAAAATCAATCCAACGACGAAACAATTTCTAACCTCAACAACAAGATCAAAGAACTTGAAGGAACAATTGCAACCCTAAATGAAGACAAAAAGACCCTTATTTCCATCACAGAGTTGAATAATGCGAAAGCAAAGGAAAGAATCCATCAATTGAAGAACCAACTTCGCGACAGCATCGAACAGCATAACACAGAAGTCCACGGAATTGAAGACGAAAGAAAGAAATTCCAAGATGAAATAGATGGACTGAAATTAAAGCTAAAGAAGCAAGGAGATGAAGCATCTGGATACAAGAAGACAATCGCAAGTGATGGAGTTGAAATTCAGAGCCTTAATAAAACAATTGCAGAATTAAGAGTTGAAATTGAAGGATTACGAGGTGTTCAGAAGGCCAACGATGATTTACAAGAAGAGCTTAGATCAGCCAGATTGGAAATAACCACTAAATCCCAAGATCTTTCGAATGAAACAACTCAAAATGACAGATTAACCCAATTACTCAATGATAAAGAGCAAATTATCAACAAACTCAAGGATACAATACAAATGTACAACAAACAGGATGCCGCAAAGAGCACAACCATTGAAGAATTAAGAGTTGAAATTTGTCAATTGACAGAAAAGATCGCACAGCTTTCTGTTGCCTCAAACAAAGACCAGTCAGACCTTATATCCAAACTGGAGATGGATAAAACAGAGCTAGAGTCCAAATTGGCCAATAATCAAGCTTCAATTGACTTAATGAACAAAAACAGACAACTTTCCGCGATGATGGAGAAATCAAACAGACTTTATACGATGCTTGTTGAAGAGAACAAAGCGTTGAATCAAGAATTAGAGAAGTTAAGACCAATAAAATCCATCAAAACTATCGAAAACTTCATTAATTTCACTTTGAAACCTCAACAGAACCAGAAATCCAAGTCAAAGTCACAGGAATCCAATGATGTAACAATGGCTTACTTGAGGAGAACTCTTTTGCAGTTCTTTTCTGAAGAAAACAGCTCTAGAAACACTATGGTTCCTCTTATTTTGGATTTGGTCGGCTGTACGAAGGAGCAGATTGCAGTTGCTTCGCGTGAATATGATAGATCACAACAACTCATTACGAGAACATCGCGATTCTTCTTCAAATAACTTAATTGTTTTGAAATTTTGTTTAATAAATGTTTATAAATACACTTTTTTGAAATTACTACTACATAATTATTTAAGTGGATTGATGTGTGTGTAAAATTAAGAATCATATTGCATAAATGGCCCGAATTTAAATAAAATTTTATCAAAATTTTGAATTAATCCAAACTCTCAGTGGAAAATTCGTTTTAAAACAAATATACTAATTAATCATAGATTTAAATTTTCTAAATTTTTCCAAATTTTTCTTGAAAAATAAAAATTGAAGATAATTTTATAATTTTTTCAAACCAAAAAATGGAATTTGAAAAAAATTTGGAGATTTTAAGTTACAAAAGATGGTTAAATAACATTTTTGAAAGGTAAAACATCGATATTTAGTTATAATTAAACAGTAAAAAGAAGTTAAACAGTTGGATTTTCTTCATCAGGTACTTCAATTTGAATGTCGTCACTAACTGGTGCAGCAAGTTTATCAACATCGGCATCGTCTTCGATGTTGATAACGAGGTTGAGAACGTCTTCAGCCTCTTGGTCGTTCTGCTCTGGCGGTGGCTTTGGAATGATGTGGAAGATTGGAATGCCAATGCCAGTAGAAAGACTGTAAACAACGTTGATGTCTGTAACAAGCATAACGAGAAGGTGAGCGTAGAAGCAAATTTGCCAGAAAAGATTGTCGGATTTGAAGCCTGGAATGAAAGGAATCAAGAGGACAATCCATTCAAGTATAACAACTTTGCTGTAAAGACGTTTGGCTGGTCTGGCTGTAATAATTGCGATAATAATCATTTGACCGCCAAATTGAAGAACAAGGCCGCATAACATGATGAAGAATGGAGATAAGTTTTCGAAGTTATATCTGATTGCATGACCGAGGAAAATTGAGAATGTAATCCAACATGGGATGACAGAAGCAATTCCACGGCAGAAGATGGCTGGATTTTGGAATGTTTCGACAAGTACATCGAAGATAACAAGGCAGATTGTAAGTGCGAAGCATATTAAGAATCCGTAGTTAATAAACTTGGAATCGAACTTTGACTTTAGATCGGGCTTGATACCAACGAGGATTTGAACAACACCGAGAATGAAAAGACCCTCATCTGGTCCGTTCAAGTAGCCGAGGTAGAACTTGTGAGTGCAGAATTCTACCCATGTTGTGAGTAAGAAGCCAATACCCATGCAAGAGACGAATATTAGCGTTTTAACAGAAGGTCCGAAGTCCAATACCATGGATACTTTCATTAATTCTAAGCAACCGGTGATAGCATCGCAGCCATGGTCAAAGAATTGGCCAAGAGCGGATGAGGAACCGGTTCTTCTAGCTTGTTTGCCATCGAGGTTATCAAGAGTTTGGTAAATGAGGAGGAAGACACCATCTAAGATGCAAACCCAACCTGGTAATGACTTGCTCATGCAGTTTGATGCAATGAATGAGATCAGGAATGATACAACTTCGAATAGGAAGCCTGTAAGTGTGATTACATTGGGTGCAAGCCACATTGGGAATTTCTCGACCATCCAGTTCCAAATGTACTTCAAACAGAAGCGTACGAGAAGAGAATCGTCTGTTCCGGAATATTTATGATTCTTGGCTGCCTGAAGCTCGTCCTCTGTAAAGATTTGCATCGGGCCTTTGTCGATTTTAAACGATAATAATAATTCAATACTTCTCAATTAGCGGATTATTCAATTTTTTTTCACTGTTATCGTTACATCTCGAAGAGCGGAAACCGCCAAATTTTACATCTATTAGTAAATTGCATGCATACACTTAACCACTTATAAATTTCACAAAAAGATGGAGCCCAACAATGAAAATTTTGGCGAAATTTCAAAATTCGAAAAGGATGATGTCATTCATAATTGAAAATGTTTGTTATAGCGCATATTTGCATTTTCTCAAATTAATCCTCCTACAAAACCATTTGTGGAAGAATTACCATTCGCAATTTGATAGAAACATCGTAAAAGACGAATATCGTAACAAGTTTTATGCATACTTTAACCATTAAAATTGTATTACATGTATAGATTTCATACAAAATACAGAAAATATTAATACAATTTCATAATAAATGAAAACAATGTAATTTAATCAAAAGAAAGATAGTTTATTTAATAGATTATATATAAACAACATCAGCTCTCATGTCTCTTGCGAACTGATTAAACATTACCCAGTTAGAAAACTTCATCATTGTTGGGCCAATTCTCAAGAAGGTGTATCTGTGTAATCCTTCAATACTCCATTGAAGAGAGCGTTGATATGAACCGCTGTCATAACATTCAAGAGCGTTTTCTCCTTCAAACATGATTCCCTGCTCTTCAGCCTTTTCCATGACAGTTCTGACGAGTTTCTCTGGCTGTGAGTAGGACTCTTCGTTCTTTGTAAGTTCGAGACATGAGAAATCAAGGGTGACATTGAATTTTGCGAAAGATCTGCAAAGTCTTTCATATCCTGTGTCATCGTTGTAGGAATAAAGACCAGCTGTAGCTTCAGCAGCATGAGATGGATGGTCTGACCACCAATGAAGTCCTGGAATCTTTGCAACAAGCTCCATTTCGTCTCCAAAGATTCTTCGAGCTTCAATGAGTACTCTATCGGCATGTTCGGCAAGCATTAAGTTGTACCAATCGAAAAATTTGAGTGCTTCCTTGTTCTCCTCGATATTTGTCCAAAATTCTGATTTTGTTGGAAGGACATTGTAATCGTTTGCGCCTTCTGGTGGTACGATGTTGCACTTCTTCATGATTTCGAGGGCTTGATCGTCGTAAACTTGGATGGCTCCTGCACCTGGATAATTCCATGGTTGTCTGTAGCCTGGATATCTGCATTCGCCACATGGACCGAGTCCTACATCAATGCAAGCAATGTGGCCATTCTTAATTTCCTCTGCAAAAGAGTCACGGAATGCAATCATGAATTGAGAGTAAACTCCAACGACTGTAGTGTTCTTCATCAAACACTGATCGTAGAATAAGGAAATGCACTCATGATCGACACTGCCACTTGCATCTTTGTAGAAGAAGTTCTCTTTTTCAACCCAATTTGGCAAAGGAATGTTGACTGTATCACCAACATTACCACCACATGCGTGCCAAGACATGATCGGGATGATCTTGAGACCGTATTTCTTGCAGAGATCGAAAAATTCATGATATCCGTCGAAATTGTATTTGTCTGGTTCTGGTTCAGTGATTCCCCACCAGACATCAATCATTATTCCATCAATTGGGATCTTGGAAAGCTTATAAAGCCATATTTCAATGATGTCGGGATTGATCATTTTGCCATTAAGATCCATAAGATCTAATGGAGCCATAACAAAGAACTGAGTTGGTTTCTTGACTTTCTTGGTACGGAATAATCTCCTTAAGAGGTAATAGGAACTGATTAAAAGGACTAGGGTGATGAAAAATGTTAAAATCATTATGATGAACGATAATTTGTGAACTTTACATAAAATTATTTTGAGAGTAAAAAATTTTTGATACAATTTTCAATACACAAGCGAGCACTCGTTTCAAAAATCAACACATAAAGGATCTGCATTCAAATACAATAGAATTTTTCTTCATGCAACAATTCCCATCAAATTCAAATGCCGTCAAACGAATATCATCATTTTATGTGGTGAAGAACAGGCTAATTAGATCATATAAGTTCACTTCTGATAATTCTCCTCTTGATCGCGCGACTTTTGATGGTTTATTTTTGCAACAGCTGAGATTGATCTCTATTTGAATGATTATTGAATAAAATTAAATTCAAATTCTATAATAACTAATACAAACATTTATTTCAAACAATAAAATAATATATATACATGCATAAAACTAAGTTATCTCTTAATTGGCTTTCTAAGTCCTGGAGTGGCAGTAAATGGTCTAGCTGGTTGCATTGAAGAAGCAGCTCTTAATATGCTGACATTTGGAGAAACTCCAAAACGTGATGTGATTACATCATCATTCATAATTAATTGCTCTTTGATGAGTTTGAAATCTTTAAGGAGTTGTTTCTTATGTCCTTCAAGCATTTTGAGCTGATTATCTAGACGGTCTATACGACTGATCTCTTCCGGTCTGGATGATTTAGAGTTATATAACTGTTGGAAGTTGTTTCGTTGAGATTCATACTCATCTTTAATTTCAGCAAATCTTTTTCTCTTTATTTGCAAACTTTCACGAAGTTTTGCAAGTTCGCTTTCATAGCTGTCTGATTTGTTTTCTATGTCATCAAGGTTCATGTTTTCTCTGCTTTGATACTCACTTTCATTCTCTTTCGCGGTTTTCTCCAGGTCAAGAGTTTTCTGTAATTTTTCATCAGCAAGTCCTTTTTGGATTTTTAGAAATTCTTGGACTTTTCTTTCTCTGACTCCTTTGCTTCTCTCTTTTTCTTTGATCCACAAGTTGGATATCGATCCAGTAATCATATCAAGCTTCTTCTGTAACTCGTCCATCATCTCCTGCGGGTCTTGTTCTTTCTGCATTTTTCTGTATTGATTTTGGTCGGAATGATTTTTCTTTCTTTCGTTCAAAATGGTATTTTGAAGAGTAGCGACAGCAACTTTACGAGCATTTTGAGCTTGAACGAGTTTGTTATGTGATTCAACATTAAGTTCTGCGAGAATCTTGTTCAATCTTAATTCTTCGTCATCATATTCTTTGATAACAGACGCAATCATATCTCTTACAGAGAATTCTTTAAGTTCAATAAGTTCTTGATTATGTTTGTCTATTATTTCACTCAGTTCTCTCCTCTTAAGAGCGAATTGATCGCGAATATACTGTGTTTCTCCTTTAGACTGGAATAATGAAATACCTGAAAGGTAATTCATATGCCTGTTCTCTTCTTCTGATAACTTTTGCGTGAACTCAGATAATAATAATTCTTTTTCTTTGGCAATTCGAGATTTAGCTTCCTCAATCATAATCTTCCTTTGTAGTTCCATTTCCTTCAAAAACTTTTGGTATTCATCTGGAATTTCGATTGATTCTAATTCTTTTTGAGTTTTTAAATATTTTCTTTGAAGTTGGCTATCAACATTCTCTCTTTGTGATGGCAATGCTTCGAATTCTTCTTGTATTCTTGAGACTTCAGTTGCAATTTCTTCTTGAATTCGATTATATTTATTTTCATATCCGTTTTTATAAGTTTGTGCAAGGACATTTATATATACCTGTTCTTGCTTTTCAAAATCTGATAGATCAGAGTTAGTCAAATCTTTTTGATATTCTAAATAAGAACCAACATTTTTCTGGAAATCGTCTTTTGGAAGATTTGCTGATTCTTTTTTAACTAATTCAAGTTCATGCTTAAGAATATCTCTAAGTTTCTCTGTTTCCTGTATCTTTTTGTCATCTCCTGGTAAACCTTTTAATAATTGAAGAGCTTCTACTAAATCTAAGTATTTTGCTTCATATCTCTTGTTTTCTTGATCAATCTTCTTTAAATGATTCTTAACTGCTTGTTCAATTTCTTCTTTGTCTTTGTTGATTTGAACTTGTAATCTTTTTTTGTGAACGACAATCTCTTCTTTTAGCTCTTGTATTACTTTGTTCAAGTGAATTATTGAGTCTTCAACACCTTTGACTTCTTCCTCTTGTTCATTATTGAGATTTAATAACTCATCTTTAAATTTTTGTTCGATATATTCAGTTGCTTCTTGAGGTTTGACTTCAAGCTTAGTTGTCTTGATTGTCTGTAACTGAGATTTTAGATCTGATAACTCATTTTGCCTGTATATGAATAAATTTTCTCTTTGAGCAAGTAATTCTTTCTTTTGGTTATTATATTCTGTTTGCTCACTTTCATCTTGTGCTTTATATGGATTTTCATTCACATCAGGTAATGATTTGAGTGTCTGTTGCAATTGTTTTTTCCATTTTTGCATATTTATATTATACAACCCAATATAATCGTTAGCATTACTTTTTGAGTTCTGTAAGTTCTCTGCAATGAATTCTAAATCGCCTTTGTAGGTCTGAAGTTTATTGATTAAATTCTTATTATTTGTTCCTAGAAATGATTTTTTAAGATGAGCAACAGATTCATTGAAGTCATCATCTAAATGAGCGAGATTTTCTTTTGTTTCTACTTCAAGATTGTGAACTTGTTTTAATTGTTCTTTATCATGTAATCTTATCGCGTCTTCATGTTTGGCTTGCGCTTTTTGTAGTTGGTCTTTTAAATTTTTCATTGTCTGATTGCATAAATTATTAATAACTGTTGTGTTATTGTTTATCTCCTGATTGAGCTGCTGAACCATGAGCGCAACTTTCTTAATATTCGATTTTAATTCTATATCGGATTCAGTCATCTCTGTATTAATTGAAATAACTGCATTCATAAATTTATCTTGAATGGCTTTGTGCCGTTCTTTGAATGTAAAGTCTACTTCTTTAACAACCTGATCTACGAGTCCTTTTAAATACTTTTCGCGAACTTTACTTTGATATTTCTCCTCTAAAATATCTAACGAACAATTAAATTTTTTTCGCAACATTTCTATTTCGAAATTATGCTGGGCTATTTGGAATCCGAGATGATCTATTAGTTTGCATAGCTGGTAGAGTTTCTTATTCGTTAGAAAAAGACAACTCTCCGCATCCAAAATCATCAACTCAGTAAATAAACGTGCACTTTCTGATGAAAGCGGTAAGATAAATTATATCGAGAAATTCATCTTTGTACTCTATTAATAGTTCTCCAATGCTTTCAAGATGGAAATAGCCGATTCATTGAAGAGATTTCTCAAAAAAATTAAAATTAGTTAAATTATGTTAGAAATAGAAAAGTCTCGTCTAATAGATGATACTTTTATGAAGATTAACTGTAGTGTAAGCTTACAAAAATTTTGACAATTTGCTCAAAACTCAAAAAAATCAAATATTATTATATGGTATGCAATGGTGATATTAAAATTAAATACCGTTCTTCATTCAATTTCTCAAAAAATTATGAGAGGAAGGACTCTCTCCCTCTCCGGAAAGACGCTTCTGGCGCCTACTGTCGCAGGCAACGGGGGCTTCAGAGAGTCCAAACTTAGCAGTACTGTGCCTATTTCGAGTAAACCTTCGAATTCAACAGGTATCTCGCCTCGAATTACTAAGCCAATAAAAATTCGAGATTTGCAATCAATCAGTACATCAAACATCACTATCACATCCAAAGAAAACATGATACTTGTTAGGAAACAATTAGATAAGCTATATCGAAACGTCAAAGAAATTACGTTATATAACCATGCAAAAGTTTTTTCAGAAACAAATATAGTAGAATCATTAAATACAGCTATAGAGTCTTTTCGTACACTCTATCACGACGCAGTCTATTACTATAAGTCAATAAAAGCAATTGAGGAAGCAATTCCTTCTAATAGAGTTGTTTCGAATGCACAATTGAAATCTTCAACTTTAACATTCCGTAAACAATGGCAAGATATTTGCACACAATTCAATACAATCAAAGAAAAAGGAGTTACATCTTTGAATGACTATATAACACTAAAGTTCCATTCGATTAAACAACTACTGGCTCATGTTGCTACATATACAAAAGTTCAAGCAAATAAAGATCAAATTGAAAAATCAACAATAAAAATGCAAGAAACAATGCTTGCTTTAAGTAAAAGTACCACAATGACATTAACACAGCGAGATGCAGTGAATGAACAGCCTACTTTAATGGAAACTCCAATAAGAGATATCAGATCTTTTAATCAACAGTTTAACGAAGCTTGCTTTAATGTATTTACAAGATGTGGTGTTCAACAAAGTGATCTTAAGCAGCTAAAACAAGATATTATATCAGGTAGCAACGAAATCGTAATCGCCATCAGAGCAGGCTTTTCTTTTGACAAGGACATGAATATGCTTACTCAACAGTTCGATAAAATAACAGAATTCGTAGATACAATGATGGATCTTGTTGAATTACCTCCATCTCCTGTCAGATCTCCACTTTTAACCTCAAGGAGGAACACATCGAGGTTTGCAAACACTCCTGTTGGTGAAACAATTACTCCAAACCCAGAATATAATGGTGTTGTCGATATGGTTGAAAAATTTGTTACAGATATCCAGAAAGACTTCAAATTAGAGATCAATCCTGAATGTGATGTATTTGAAAAGCTAGAAGAAATAAGATCCCAGCTTCTTATCTCATATAAACCAGATGACGACATTAATAAGTCAGAAGTCAAATTTGCAGATGTCCAATTCCAAACATCAGGAAGACAGAACGAACTAGACATTGCTGAAGGTACTGGACAGAGCATTTATACAGATTTTGATGACTCTTTCACGCAAACAACAGCGAGATCTACAAGAAGTCGAAGAGTTTCTAATATGTCTGATCCAATAAACCTTTTAGAAGCTAAAGTAGCCAAACTAGAGGAAGAACTGAAGAAGAAAGACGAAGAAATCAATGAACTCAAACAAACTTCAGATCAAAGAGCCAAACTAACATTGGAAAAAGCAATAAACAAAATGAGTGGAATTCTGTCTGATTCAGATGGAGAATTCGTGAAAGATGGTGAGAATGCAGAGAAACTGCAGCTGTTTGTTGTCGACAGGAAGTGTCCTATTTGTGCAAAAAGAGAAGTAGAAGAGCTAGAAATCGTTGAAAAAGCGAGAGATGCGTTTTTGAAAGTAGATGCAACTGTTTCTGATTTAAATCAATTACCACAAGCAATTGATGAATTAGTTGAACAGGTACAGACAGCTCAGAATGAAGTTGTTCTAAGAAATGAAGAATTAGACATAAAGAACTCAGAGATCTTCAATTTAAACCAAAAACTTGAAGAACAAAATGACAAAATCACTGCAATGCAAATGGCTCAAAACACATTGAAACAATTGTTATATGGAGACAATCCACCATCAGACGACATGGATGTAGCAGCAATTACAATGAACGCATTCAATGAACTCGAAAAGAAACACAAAAACGAACTGAAAGAGCTAGAAATTAGCATAGAAAAGAAACACAGAGAAGGATGGGAAAAAGTCTACGAAACCCTCAAAATTTCAAAAGATGAAGGGCCACAAGCGATTTATAATGAGTTTGACAAACAAAACAAAGTCATTGAAGACTTGAGGAACCAGTTGAACCAAGCAAATGGTGTTCTGAAGAGAATAGAGGCATGGATGAGAGACCACGCAACAGCACAGACACAAGGAATGGGTCTGGAAGAGAAATTCCAGTCATTGATGTTCGCAATCGACGAAGCACCAAATCCTTTGTCTTTGCCATACGAAGAACTCATGAAAGAAAGAAGACAAATAAGATCTGAAATAGAAGAAACAGTAACAAACTTGGCAAAGCAGTTCCACACGAAACTGGGTGTCAAGAACTTGAAGACAGTTAAAATAGCAAAACTCATGGAATTGCATAAAGATTTGACAGGAAAAGCAACAGGAGATATGGGTGCAAAAATTGAAAAAATCACAAAATTGAGTCAAACAATTGAAAAATTGAGAGGTATCATTGTAAAACAATGCAATAGATTATGGGAATTCTTGGAAGTTCCTCCACATGACTTTGAGAATAACAATATTGAAGAGATGATGAATAAACTGGCAGAGCTTATTGAAAAAGTTTGCTGTTCTGGATCTCAAAATTTCGTATCTAAAGAAGTCATAAACAAAGCTGTTGTTCCAATCAGAAAACACATTAGTTCTAAGTCAAATGATCCAAGAGTTTTCATTCCCGAAATGGTAAAGTTCATCATGGAGAGCTATGACACGTTCACAATGATATACACTGTTGCTAAACCTCTTGAAGAAGCTTTGGGAGCTTATGATTTCACGAAAATGCCTGAAATTGGTGATAAAAAATTTTCTCATACGAGAGAATGCGTTTTTAGAGTGAATGCTATTGTGAAGGAAGCACAAGAGAAGTATAAGGACAAACAAGGATATCGAGCTTTCGATGTTCTTAATGATTTTGTCTCTTTGACTTGTGCTTTGTTCTCATTACTTGCATCTCAATCATTTGGAACTCCAGGAGCAAATGTTTTAGCATAGAAATAAGCTTATTTTTTGTAATGTTTATATTATTAATAAATATGTTTGTAATGTTTATTTTTTTACATAAATAGAAATTTTTTTTTTGAAATTTACTTGTTAACTATAATAAATACCCTATGATTTGCTTTAATTAATCAAAATAAATCATTTTATTCCCTAGTTATTAAGTAAATTCTAAGGAAGACCTCATTGAATATTCTTGAAAAGCATAAAAACTCAGATATAAAATCTTTTCTCTTGTTAAATTTGTTACTTAAGAGTAGACGACTCTATTGCAATACATTGAAAAATAAGCTTAGACAGCCATCAGCGATCGTAGAAATTTTTGAATTGAATATTGAAAATTTAAGTTGAATGAGGAAGCAAATCCCAGCTAATGCTGATTTTTCAATGATGTTAACCCTTCCTCAGCTTGATAAATTAATCACCAATAAATTAGAAAGCATCTCAGATGCTGCAATTGCTGGAAAGAACGAGAACATGAAACATTTAGATGATCTCGAGAGATTCCAAATATTGCTTCACCATCCAAGGTCAAAGAAAGTACCAAAAATGATTGGCCATATCATTAAGACAACAAAATCAGATCTTGTCATTAAAAATGCATTTTCATTAATAATCGACATACTTTCCGGACCAAACGAGTTTGCTGACAGACTTGAAAACGACCAATCTTCACACAAGAGCAGCGCTACTCTCAATCTTGTCGGTGTAGAAAAATCTTCTGACACAATTTCAGTTTTTTCATCATATTTAGAGTTAATTCCTGTTGCATTCCCACACTTTATCCTTGACCAGCAGGACCAGCTCCTCGAAACCATTGCTTTGACTTTGACTCAGTTGACTCCGAATGCATCAAAGTCACAACCACAATTGAGCTTCAACATTTACATCTCCCTTACGAAAGTATGCCTCGAGATCTTCTCAACATACTCGAAGCCGGACTCTCCAAAGAAATTATTACTGAACTTTGCAAAGCAAGTTCTTGGTCAAGCTATTACTGTCGCATCCATGCTTTCAGAGTACTCGAAGAAGTCCAAAATACAAATTTCATCTTACGCTGGCTACATTGGCGAACTATTGCCATTTGTCGCTTCAATTGAAAAGGCTAGTGCTGATATCGATATCGAATTATCCAAATTACTTCAGCAGTTTTGGATCTGCTGCGTTATTTTTGCTTCGTCAAATATCAATCTTTTCTTCTCACAATGGGAAGGAGCCTTAAACGTTATCGCACATTTCTTCCCCTCGCTCATCCATGGCCAAACGAGAGGCGATTTTGCTACAGTTAAATTCCGCGTTCAAGAATTGTTGAATTTAATTCAACCAGTATCAATGACAAAGGTTCAAGATGTCATTCCGATCTTTACTCGCCATATACCAACAATCAACATCAAGATTCTCCAGGAAATGGAGCTTCCTGACGCAGTTTACGCCTTATCTCTATTTTCACTCGAAAAACTCAGAGCCCACAAGGGAATTATTTCTCCGTTCTTCAAGTACTTCGAAGTCGAATATACAGCGAATTTCTCCGCAATTTTAGATGCGATGGTTGATCCGCTTTTCTCCAAGTTTAACAAGGCAATCGAATCATTCGAGGACCCCGATGAAGGCAGGCGCTGCGCAAATGCTGCAATGGTTACTTTTGTCGAGAGATATACTTGGCCGGTCGCAAAAGTACGTAGTATCGTAGATACTCATATCAAGAACTTCGTAAATGCACATCCATTTGTATTATTCGACGTCAAAGTACTCAGAGCTCTCTCTAATTCCGTTGAATTGATGGAATCTCAAACCCCAGAGCGCCAAACAGCCTTCCAAGGTATCATACAAGACTTATTTACAAAGTGCATCACAGCAGCTCCCTACGCTTTCATGGCAATCCTTCAACATCTCGTTGTTGACCAAGGTCGTGAAGCATTTTACAGCGAACAGCCATCTTTCGTACATACAATCTACAATTACTTAACATCGCTTCAAAAGGAGCAGTTTACGACCGAATTAATTTTGAAATGTCTTTTGAGAGGCGAAGCAAGCTTTGTCACCAAGGAACAGATCAGAGCCGTCCAGTACCAGTCCGACAGATTATTACTAACTGCTTCTTACGCAGCTCTCCGCGAAGATGAACAAATCTTGTCAGATCTCGTCACAACAGCTCCACAGAAGACATTATTCATTGCCTGGTCGCACTGTGTAATGAACGGTTCACGTAAAATCGCTGGAGCCATGTCCAGACTCTTAATAACGAAATTTGCCGAGACAATTAGAACCAGAACCGGCATTTTCGGCGACAAACTCGACATGGTTACCATCGAACTTCAGAAATCCATTCTTCTTTTCTTCATTGAGCAAGCAATGATTGGCAGAGATCTTTCATCAGCCACTCCAGCCCTTGCACACGCCTTTGAAGTTCCAATTCTCAATCACCCAGCCTCAATCATTGTTGTTCTTCCTCTTGCGCAGTTAACCTGCTTCCTTGGCACCTCAGTAGACAACAAACTCGCATTGAGATCCATTGAAGGCTTCAGAATCTTCTTCTTCAAACTTGTTCTGAGGTCATACTACTTCTCAAGCAACCAGTTGGTCTACAAGTACATTTCAGAGGACGAAGTAAAGACCCTGGAAAACTTGATAGAAATAATGGACCAGCAGTCTCAAAGAATTTCTCAAGGACCGAAACAAGAAGTTTCATTGAGGAGTTCTCAAGGTTCATTATACGGAACAGAGATGACGAGGAAAGAGTGCATTTTAGCTGTACAGAGAGCCACAACAAACTTTGCATCAAGAGGAGTGACAGACAACAAACTCGCGCTGAGATTGACATCAGTGATCACTTTCATGATCTGTTCCGAACTCCAGACATTCCTTTCCTATCTAAACATCACTCCTTCGCCTGCAACACAGAGATTGCTCGCTTTGCATCAGTTGAAACCACAGTCAATCCATCTCTCTTCGACTGTTCCTGTTTTGTACAATGAAGATCCAGCTGCTATCTACACATTCGCTGCTCTTCCTCAGATAGAGAACTTGATGTCGCCAATCCTCCTCAAGATAATCAAAAACACAATGTTCCACGCTGCAACAGTTCCAGAAATGTCACTTTTCTTGGCAAAACAACAAGCATTTGACAAATCTAATTTCCTGTTTTGGAGTCCATTGAAACCTGTCCAAGCTTTATCGTTATTAGTTCCAGAGATCATGAATGACAAGAGATCTGCTTCTTACGTTGCCAGATGTTTCGAACAGTTCACAAGGGATGAATCATTAATGTTTATTCCACAACTAGTTCAGTCATTGAGATTCGATACACACGGTGTGATGCAGAAGTTCCTCATGAAGTTCTCTGAGTCAGAAGAAGTTTTCTCACATTATTTGTTGTGGAACATTTTGGCAGAAAAGAACAACCACGTTACAGAGAATGACAATTTACCACAGATTCTTACACAGTTGGAGACAAAGATCATTGATCACATGACACCACAACAGAGGACTCTTTACGAAGCAGAGTTTAAGTTCATCGATGATTTGGATCTTGTTTCACAACATTTGTTGCCATTGGAAATTCCAAACAGACCTTCTGCATTGTTTGACAAGTTGAAGGACATGAATATTCCAGAAGGATTGTATATTCCTTCCAATCCAAACTACAAGATCATTTCTATCGATGCAGAGAACTCAGTTCCTTTGAAGAGCCACGCGAGAGTTCCAATTCTCGTCAAATTCAAAGTTTACGACGACAGAGATGAAGAAAAGAAGCCAATTCCATTCGCATGCATCTTCAAGATCCACGATGATGTCAGACAGGACGCAATGATGTACCAGTTCATCGAGGTATTCAAGGGAATCTTCAGAGACGCAGGAATTGACTGCTTCGTCTATCCATACAGAGTTTTCGCAACAGGAGAAAACAGAGGTGTCATTGAGTTGATTCCGAAATCAAAGTCAAGACACGATATCGGTTCTGCAACAAACGAAGATTTGCTTCACTACTTCATTTCGAAGTACGGACAGATAGGAACAGCCGCATTCAACAAGGCCCAGGAAAACTTCGTCAGATCAATGGCTCCGAACTCTTTGATTTGCTATTTGTTCCAAGTCAAAGACAGACACAACGCAAACATCATGATCGATGAAGATGGTCATGTAATCCATATCGATTTCGGTTTCATCTTCGAGATTTCTCCAGGTGGAAATATGAAATTCGAGAGAGCACCGTTCAAGCTTTCAAAGGAAATGATCGATTTGATGGGCGGATCAAAGGAAGCCGCTCCTTTCAAGTTGTTCAGGAAGCTCTTGATCCAGTGCATGTTCGCTGCAAGAGCAAGACACGAAGAGATAGAAGCAATCACAAACTTGATGAGATCTGCTGGATTCCCTTGCTTCAGAGCTGACTCAATTAAGAAGCTGAGAGAGAGATTCTGCTTCGGAATGACGCCAAAGGAAGTCGTACAAACAGTTGACTCTCTCATCGCTGGTTCTTATGAAGCTATTACAACAACTGGTTACGATGCTTTCCAGGCTTCTCAGAACAAGATTTACTTCTAAGTTTTTTTATTTATTTTTATATTTTATTTTTTTTATATACATGTATAACAAAAAAAGTATCAGATCTAATAAGTTTTAAATAAATATAATAAAATATTTTATTTATATTAACCTCCACACAAAGATAGCATGTTTATTTTTCTAACAAACACCATTGCCCGGACATTGTTCTTATAGTACTGGTTAAACTTATTCATTCGATTGTTTTCTTCTCGAAAATAATAAGATTGATATATTTAAAGCAAATTAGTATAAACACTTAAGCGTGAATGATGTACAATTATATAAATTTGTAATCAATTTCATTAGACTTAAATCAAATTTAAAAATCTTTAATAATTTTCAAAAAAGATGAAATAAAGATTCATGAAATTTATTTATAAACAAACATTGGATAAAATGATATTAGAGAGAACGCTTCTTTGTGGCAATTGGGCTATCAATCAGACTTGATCTCTTGCGGCTGTTTGCAAGTGGGCTGATTGGGCAGGTATTCTTGGATGGTGGAAGAAGAACTTCACGCTTCTTCTCATTGATCTTTTCGATTTCATTTCTGAAGATTGTGTTGTAGTGTTGGAGATTTCCGTTGTCTACATGTTCCTGAGTATGCATTCTCATGTAACCGCCATCACAGTGGTTTGGATACTTCTCATAGAACTCTTTGTAACCACCATCAAGAATATAAACATCTGGATAGTAAAGAAATGGGTAAAGATTCCAGTTAACATTTCTATCATGATCTCTGAAGAGACCTGCCATAGTTGGTCCTCTGCTCTGTGAGAACTCACAGTGAAAGATGATGATTGAGCTTCTGATTGTTTCTTCGAAGAATTGTTGGAATAGATCGGTAGGTGAGTTGCTGTTTTTAGCATTCTTAATGTGTCCACCTTCGTATTCATAGGGGAAACGGCAATCAATGATGAAAAGTTGCTTGAATTCGGAGTTGTATACGCCATTGAGGACGTCATTCATCGTATCGCATGTGATTCTTGGGACTGCATCGGTTTGACTAATGACTGGAAGAACTCTGTTTTGTTTGTCAGAGAAGTTGCAGGATTGTGTTCTAAACAAGGCTCTTTTCGGCTTCTTCATTCTAGGTTCGACGATTGTGTTGTCGAAATCTGGAAGTGGAATAGAGGAAGAGAGCATTAGTTGCCCAAAAATTATAATGAATCCTTAACATCATTTTCCCCTGAAATTATTTGAATGTCTCCTTTCAATTTTTGAGAGAGGAAATTGTATTACCTGTTATGCACATTTGATGTACTTAGAAAATAGAGAAGATTTTATCATTTCGTATATGTACGTTAAGAATCTTTCGACATGCCAAAACGCGATATATCCATTTATAGGATGGCTAGTTGATGCAAAAATCAATAACAAAAATCGATGATAATGAACTTTTTAAAATTCCTATTGAAAAATATAAAAAATTTTATACGCTTAAAGAAAAAATATAAACAAGGTATCCTGAACATTAAAATTTATATTGCCTTTTTATAAAACTTTTTGAGATAATTTCGTTTATCATAGGTTACACTCCCTTAAATCATCGTGTAAACATAGCATTGATAGACACAATTCAGCGTTAGTAGCAACATAAATGCAATTAGAGGAAATCGTAGTCAAAAATGTTCAATATTGATTTTTTTCTATTAAAGCTTTATACAGTACTAGCAACGAATCATCAATGGCTACATGTTATGGTAGCTTAACGCATAAGTTCCATCAAATGAACATAAAAAATCGGTAAGAAAATTATACTAGAAAAACCATAATATTTATAGATTTATACTTTCTTAAATGCATTAATAACATCTTTGACAGCCTGATAGGTTGAAATAATTCCAGTAACTAAGCCAAATATGCCTAAAGCCCAAACGAGCCAGAACTGAAGTGTCTTCCATGATGGTTTGTAGTGTAAGTACCAAAGAAGAGCTGGATAGCAGAAATCTACAACGCAGCCACCCAAGGCACCACCGACACCAAGAATTGGCTTTGATTCTGGTAAGAACATGGCGATGATAATTGGGATTGTATGTGTAATTACTTCTACAATAACGCGCTGCCAGAATGTGAGGCTTGGTGCGTCATTATTTCCGTAAATCATCTGGCCCCAGGATCCCATGACTGGCTGAGCAACGCATGGGTATGAGAATGTAACAACGAAGAAGAAGCCAATGCGAACGATGATCATCAAGACATCATTATCTGGGAAGTTCTTCAAAACGTTTCCGTTTGTTTCGTCACCGAACAATAAGTATCCGATGACGGATGGGATGAGAACGAGAACGAAACAAAGGATGGTTGCAACAATTGCTGTGATCTTCCTCTTTTGGATTGTCTTATTGTAGTTAAAGACAATAGGAAGAGCAATGATTGGAAGTGAGAATGCAAGGCCATGAATGGCAAGAGCGTAGAAGAGGTCTAAGCTCATCTTTCCGTATGAAACGTTGTGGTGCTTGCCAGACTTCGGGAAGTTGGTTCCGGCACGGATGATCATTGACAAAACGAAAAGCAAGATGAAGAAAACAGTTGCTGTTGAGAAATATGACAAGAATTTGATTGATCTTGGGATTGTCAAGGCAACAGGGAGAACTAATGAATAAATCAAGATCATTGCGGCACGTCTCCACATTGGGTTGAGGTTAACCTTAGCAAGATTGAACCAGCTAATTATGAAATCGCCTGCCAAAATAATATAAGCTAACATAGCGAATTCAAGGAACAGGAGTGTCAATACGGATAAAATGATTTGAGAAACCCTGCCAGAAACCTTTAATGTTAACTCATCAAAGCCTGCCGATTCTGTTTCTATTTGTAGCGTCATAATCATAGCTGTGGCAAAGTAGGAAATGACAGCTATAGCGGAAAGAAGTGCTATCGAAGGGAAAAGACCAATGTTGATGAAAGATGATGGGACAGAGAGAATGCCAGCACCAAGTAAGGAGTTTAACAAGTTCATAATGGTAGCAAATCTTCTAACACGATTGGGATTGCCTTCACCCTTGAATGTATCCTCTTTTGGATGCTCTTCATCAAGGTTAATTTCTTCCATCTTAACAGCATCAGTATCTGCTGTATGGTTAACTGGAAGACCATCAACGCCAATCTGTACAGCACCTGTGGCCTTCACCTGAGCCTCAGTATCTACATAGCCATCCTCCTCTTCCATTTTTATTTTGAATTTCCAATTTTATTTGAGAGCGCTCACAAAAATTAATTCGGAGAATAATGCTTGATTGACGATGTAGTTTAAAGTTTTAATAAGAAAGTTCAGAAATCCGAAAAAATCGCAAAAATTCAGTTAAAACGATGATAAAAATTAAAAATGCTTAACATATGTATTTATATATCATATTTCAAAGGAAAATGTCTTTGGCCAAGTCTTCAGAAATCATTCAAATCTGAAAAGGTGAGCATACAATAATTATGTGTGAGCAAGATGATATTAATTCGTAATAACAAGTAAATATTTATTTTATGAAACCACTTCTGTTTATAACGTTTAAACTTTGAAATTGATTACAATGTTTCTGAAAAAAATACCTATATTTTTTACTCAATTTTTTGGCTAATCAAATACTTTATTTTCATTTACAAAACTATTTCTAATTCAAATATGCAATGTTGTAAAATATTCAAAAATTATCACTTCAAATTTAAATAATGGAAAATGCATCGCATATTCATTATTTAGCCAGATTGAAAACAGTAATGTAATATTCGCATTTTGAATCTAAAGCATTGAAATTTCTCGTATCAAAACAGTTCTCTGCTTTTAATTTATTGGATATTATTTCGTGTCATTGCATGATGGCGTTTAAAAATTATTATTTTTAATATTGGAGAAAAGTGATCTCCGATTGATTTTTTCCCATAACTTTAATTTGGTTTTGTTAGACTGGCAGGAATGATATGAGAATCATTTACAGTGTATTCCAAATAGATCTACCTCCAACGCCATTGATTGCAAATCAATTGTATTAAAAGCTACCGATAGTCTCTAATTTTATGATTGCATATATATTAGATTGTTGTTTGCATGTAAAGTAACATGATTATCCATTCCTAAGAGACTATTTAAATTTATTCAGAGAATGGAGAATAATAATACGAAAGTACATGTACACAACTATTTATTAACTTATAAAAAAGTCTATACGAGATTGCTATCAAATTGTCTAAAGATAATTTTTCATTATAGAAAATATTGCATTTTTATTAATAAAGAACAATAGATATTTCTAGTATAGCGCATGTAGTTAACTGCTATCACTATTTAATGCTTGATTTTTCTGAATAATGAATATGAATCTTCCCATTTAGTGAAAAAATGTCATTTTGACAAGCTAAGTTAAAGCAATTAATATACTACGTCTAAACATTTTAATACTACACTGCATTTTAGTACACCCTTGATAATATAAACGGTATATGTCTTTCTGATGTCTGAATATTTTGAGAAGTAAGGGTTTATTGAAAAAAATGTCTTGCGATTTAAAATTATCCTATAGATCTTTTATCGAATTTCTGATTTACATCATAAGTAAAGCAAGTTGGCCAACGGAGAATGCGATTTTAATTATCATTTTTCAACTGATAAATTTGAATCTAAATTGAGGCTTGTTGAAGTGATGTTCAGGCATTTAATATTGTACACAGTTGAACTCTATCTCTATTTTTAATATTTTGGATAATCGTTCCCGAGAGAATTGAAATAATCATTCATGTAATATAAACAATCATTTTCTATTTTTTAGAATCAAGGAAAAAATACTTTATAAAATTTTTGAGAAGACTGATCTGAAAATTTCTAGGGAATTGAATATACATTTAAATTGTGGTTTAGCAATTCATGTTGAGTATTATTATTTTCGTATAAAATTGAATTCAAAAAGTTCAAATTGTTTCTGTATTTGAATACTATCCATAGATGTATCCATTGCAATAGCACGTCCTAATAGAATACTTCTTAATCAATTAAAAAATAAAGTTATCCTCCCATAAAAAAAAATTATAGTTGATTCATGCAGTAATAAAAATTTTGAAAATCAGTTGATTTCCATTCAATTTTTTTAAATGATTGAAAGAATAGCTTCTTATTGCATTTATACAAATACTCCAGATCTGTGTGATATTAATTCTCACAAGGTAGAGTTTCATTCAGTACAGGATAACTACCTAAATTTTTCAAATTCAGTAGAATGCTATGTAGATTTTGCTGATGATGTCCCTTCAGATGATTTTAATATCTACGATCATATATATTTCGGACCTCAAACTAGTTCTATTTATTTTCGCGGATTGGGATCAATGAAATATATCTCAAGGTTTAAATACAATGCTCCAAAATTCGGGATACAGATTACATTTGATAACGTAAAATACTATTTTATCGAATCTATAGCTGTACCAACAGAATTATTTATCATTAATTCGCAAGTTTTAGGCGATTCGAATCTTGTTCAGGGGTATGAACTAAATTTTGATATATTTTCATGGAAATATATAAACAGCATACAATCACAAAAGCTTAACCTCTTCTTTAAAGGTCAAGATATTAAAAATTTGAACAAGAATATCAAAATAACAAAAATTTATCAATCTTTTAACCTTTTTCTATCAGATTTTAATTATGATTACGATGTCGAATACATTGGCCACTTGGTTGTCATAAAATCCCCTCAAAATAATTTTTCAATTACGACGCGTTCCCACACGGATTCATTAATAATCAACATTAATTCAACTACAAACATAAATGCTACCTTTTCCAATAAATTCCTTTCCAATACAATCAAGTCCTCCCAAGTTTCAATTTTTGCCAAAGAAAAACTGAATTTTACATTTCTGCCATCATTTTGGATACCAGAAGCCAACGTAAATGTGCAAATTGTAACAACCGAAACTGCTGACATACATAACTTCTGCAAATACGTACCAATGCGACTCATCAACAATGCTTTAGTCAAAATTAATTTTTATTCACACGTCAAAGCAGCCAAAATAAGTGGAATAATCTTGGATAAGATAGATTTCAACATATTCGATCCCGATTCACTTGTGGAAAGTGTAGAATTTCATAATTTAGAAGTTATAAATTCTTCGATTTCTTGCAACAAAAAGAACATTTTAATCCATATTTCGGACCTTTTAATGGATCACATTCTCAATAACATATGGTTTAATGGTTCTGCAACATTTGTATTATCAGGAACTATCGCAATAAACCATGGAGATGTTTATTTAACTAATGTTTTAGTTTCAGATTTTACTAACTTCACAATAATTTATTCTTCAAAGAAGTATGGACAATTTGAAGCTGATTCAATTAAAGGATACAGTAATGATAATTTCCTGGCAACTATATTTGTTATAGAAGAAACAACAACTCTTAATATTGCCCATATTTATCCGATTGTTTCAAAAAATGAACTCAATGTTGCGAATTTTGATTTGAATTTTTTGAATCCGGAGAACTATTTACTTTTTAAGCTTTTCAGCATTACTGACAAGAGGAATATGCACAAGATAAAGATAAGTAACGACCCAATATCATGTGGAAACCTTTGTTTGATCAGCGAGGGCGTTGATCCATTTTCTTGTCCGTCAACAACAACAGAAATCATCAGAACATGCAATCCTTATTCAACTTACATCAGATCCATACATTATATGACAGATAAGAGCATATTGAACTATAGTTCTATATCATTGATGCCATATACAAGTCTTTCTGCATCAATCGAATCAAAAATTTCATTTCCATTTGACAAATTTGAAAATATAAAAGTGACAGATATAAACCTTTTAATTAATTCAGAGAAGATCAAATTCAAGGGAGCAATTATTACTAATTCATCAATTCAAGGTCCTAAAATTCTTGAAGGCAAGAAATTGGAAATAGACTATAAGTCATTGAAAGGAATTACTTGCTTAAATGTAACAGAAATTCATATTAAAAATGGAGATCCAAAAACAATTTATTTCAAAGATAATGAAGTAAACTTTGGATCTATCACAATCCCTATAACAAAAGAATCAAGAATATCATGGACAACAGAAAATGATATATCCACATCAATTGTTATTGATGGAAGTTCCTTTGAAAAGTTCGATTTTAGCGGAAATCAAAGTAATTTTAACAAAATTTTCCTTGATGTTAAAAAGAAAACAAATCCTATAAACTTTTATTATCATGGAGAATTAACAGTTCATAATGAAGAGATTCCTTTATTCGTCAACGCAAAGAATGTTTATTTTATGCTCGAAAAGATCTCTCGACTACAAGTTCCATATATAAGTTCAGATGGAACAATAAAATTAAATTGTGTCAATTGCCAAATAAATGCAGACAAATTAGTCATTGAAAAAACCGGAACAGCTGTTGCTCCAAGAGGATTCTTCGCTACAGATGACTTACATTTAAAGACAAACGGATTAACTCAAGAAATTGGAACGATTTATCCGAAGAAGAACATCAATATCGATAAAAACGCTCTATCTTATGTAGATTTCCAGTCGTTTTCAGAAAATTTGACCATCAATGTTAACTTCACTTTATCATCTGTTCCTTACATATTAGTTAGGGACTCATTCCCGAAGAACATCTCTTTTGTTATGTCCCATATTGGAGAAGGACAAGAATTGAAGTACCAAAATGATTGGAATAATGTCCAAGTTGATGTTGTTTGCGGAGAGAAAATAAACTGCTCGAACTGGAATGCAAGCTGGGTATCATCGACATGGGCATTCAATGGTACAGACAGATTATTTGATATGAAATGTGGGAAAGGTTTATATGATGATAACTTGATGTGTTATTCTATTGTAAATAGAATTGAAACTCCTATTCCACAGAAAAAGAGTAAGACAAAGATGATTATATTTATAGTTACAGGTGTAGTAGTAGGGTTAACTCTTATAATTGCACTTACTATTTTCATTTATAATAGATCCATTAAGAAGAAACGAATTATGTACTTTATTACATCTGATACATTGCATACTCCTTTGACTAGTATGGATGTCATGGATTGATATATTATACAATTTATTTATATATTACATCAATCTTTTATTTTATCCTACAGAAATATTATATTAGATTTGTAAAAAATTTTCTTTCTATTTTGTATATGTAATTGCTTCATCCAGTTTTCATATAACATACCCTAATTCAGTCACCGCGTAGCTTGGTTAATAGATTATGATATCAACAATTGCTAATTACCGGCCAAGTACATTTAGCCATGAAAATTCATTTTCATCAATCTGAGAATGCTATATACGAAGCAAATGAGATTTTCATAAAGCAATAGAGATTAGTCACTTTTTCCGGAAAAAAGCTCCATTAATGGGGTGTATGAGTTCGGCAAGCGAAACTCCACGCATTGAATGGCTTTGTGAAATAGACTCAGATTTCCTTAATTCTTCTGTTTCATCATACGGACTCGATCGTTTCATCCCTAATTATGGACTTTGCATCAAATATATCAGAGGCGATGTTGGTATTTTCAACGATTACCCACGTAATATTCAAGAGTCACTTCTTAATGAAGTTCGTGTACTTTATGGTCTATTACACGCTAGATATATTGTAACGGAAGAAGGCCTAGAAGCTATGTTTGAAAAATATCAAAATTGCATATTTGGATGTTGTCCTCGTGCTAGTTGTCACAAGGAATTCTTATTGCCAATCGGATTGACCGATGAACCTGGCGTTATGAACGTGAAACTATACTGCCCAAGATGTTGCGACATATATGAGAGCTTCTATCAGCTAGATGGTGCATATTTTGGAACAACATTCCCTATATATTTTGTTAAATACCATGAAATCGAAATTGGAAAGTATTTACAGCCAAACTACACAAACACTGGAGATCCAACAAGAGATAACCGTTTGTTAAGATATAGAGACCCGTGTTATAAACCTACAGCCGAATTAGAATTGCCAAAAAAGGTAATGGGCAAAAATCCACAAAGTAATTAATTACTATCATTGCTAGCCACAGAAATAATGTTATGTTTTGTTTTTATAATAGTAGAAAATCATAAATAAAGAATTTGTTGTTATTTTTATTAGTGATAAATGAATTGAACGATTTTTACCCTAATATATGAAGTTAATTGTGGTTCACCTTAGCGTATAGCTTTCGAAGCCAACTAGATTTATTCATTTTTATAAATGGAATCTGATGAACTTATCTGGGAAAATTTAAAAGTCCATATATCACCTCCAGAGGTAGATATGTATGCAAAGCAAATCGGAATAGCGCGTATAACCAGAAATGAAGAAATATTTTCAGAATTATCTACATTAAGAAAATTATACGATTCAATGCAAAACAAATTAACAGAAGAAATCGCACGAAAAACACCTAGTATTTTAGTTTCTGCTCAAAGAACGTCTGCAATTCAAAAATGCATTAATTTTTTAGATTCCCTTAAAGCGTCAGGTCATTTCATTGAAACAGATAACCCGGTTGATAAAGAAATTGTGAAATACTTAAAAGTTACAAGGGCAGACAGACCAAAAACAGGAAATTCTTTATCTTCTACGAGATCAAGCTCAGCTTTGAAGAGCTCAAAGAGCGTCACCAACATTAGTAATAGTATCGAAGATATACGAACTCTTCTAGACGAAGAATTTGATTTAATGCAAACTCAAGTTCAAGAAATTCGGTGCTCCATGTTCAATGTTTATGACTAATATAACGAAGCAAAGCAAGTTGAGCCGCCAACTACAGAATCAATCGAACGATTTAATAAAAGACTACAACAACAAGATTTCACTGTTAAAAGCATGATGAAAAATAAGTCTTCTGGTATTAATAAACTCAGAGATTCTGTTCAAATGAATAGAATCTGGGAATAATTTGTTTCGAATTTTGAACGAATTGTTCACGTTTTATTGTTTTTATTAAATTTGTTTTCCATAGTAAATAAAGTATCCATGTTTATTTTTTGCTACTAGCAAGATTTTGATATATAATTTTTAATCTAGTTTAACTCCAGTTCAACAATGAAGATGCTGAGAGTCATTGCAGAATTAAATTAACAACTCGGGAATACAATAGCCAAATACTTCAGAAATTTAAAAAATTCTTTCGAATATTGACCATTTGACAAATTTTCTTTTTTATTTAGCATATCTTATCAAAGATATGATGTTTTTCAATTCGGAAATAAAGGCTTAATTTTACGTTTATCCATAAAAATAATGAGTATTTCTTTCTCTTTTAACCAAAATGATCGCAATTCAAAATCAGATTTAAGAATGTCTGCTCTATCATCATCAATTGGTAATCAGAGATCGATAATTTCATCAAGCAAACCAGATAATTTGGATGAGCTTGAAATTCTCGATCAAAAAATCAATCAAATCAGAGAGCAAGTAAACAACTCTGAATTAGCTCTTCGAACATTAACAGATGAACTCGAAAATAAGCATGAAATTTACGTCAGACAAATTGAAGATCTAAAAAGTCAAATTGATGCCGCAAATAGAGAAGCAGAAAATGCATATGTAATGCAACAATCAAACGAACAACAAGAATATCTGCGATTACATCGAAAACTTGAAGCAGAAATCCTTCAATATCAAGCTCAATTTGATGCAGCTTCGAATAAATTAGAAAGAAGTGCCGAGCAAAGCAGAGATTATGCCGATGTGCGCAAGGCTTGGCAAATTACTGATATGATGCGCTCTCTTCAAATAGAAGCAGGAAAGGTCAGCGAATACAATCTTACAAGATCACTCGGACGCACAGAGAAAAAGTTACAGAAGCGTGCGAAAATACGTGATGCTCAAATGCGCCTGAAAACCGCAGAGGATGAATTATCAAAAATGAACGCCCAAGTTAAAGAATTTCAAGCCAATTGTCGTATCGAACAGAAAGAACTGCAAAACAAACTCGAAATGTCAGAGCAAAATCATAAGCTTTTAATGCAAAAATTAGTAAATGAACAAAATCATCGCGATAAGGACTATATAAGACATCTTGACGCTGTTAGATTAAATATTTATACTGAAAAACAAAGAATGGAATATGATACTCAATCGAATGAATCTAAAATTGCTAATTTGCAAACAATTCTAAAGTCAGTTCAAAAGCAAGGCTTGCAACAAATGTCACTTCTTACATCTGATATTCAAAAGCTCCAAACAGCGCTTGATGCTGCCGAACAATCAGAAAGCAAATTTTCTTTCTCAACTAAAGGAAATGATACTAAAATGCAGGATCTCAGGACAAAGCATGCCAAATGGAAATCACTCGCTGATGGAATTATTGAAGAAACAGAAGAGTTGAAAATTGAAAATCAAAAAATTGTTGCTGAACTCGAAAAAATCGAAAATAAGTCTAAGCTTCAGCGCAAGTCTGTTAACCCTATGAGAAGAAGTATGAATTATTATTGAATATTGTATGTTGTAAATTTTTTTCATAATTTTGTAATATTTTTAGTATTTCTTCAATATTTTTGTGTTTCCACAACAGAATTGCTAATTTCGTAGGGTGCAGGTAATGATTCAAAGCAATGCAAAGGTTGAATTTTCCTTTAATATTTAGCAATTTTCAATTATGTTGAACCAGCTAGCCATCTTATTACCAATGGTGTCAGTGTCAATAAAAAGATTGTTGGGAAATCCTATCTTCATTGTGTGGCCAAGAAAAATAGTAGAGAAGTAATCGAAATTCATGTATCCCAATTTGCGTGTATAAATATAGCAAATGGTTGTGGAAAAACACCTCTTCATTTGGTAATTGATCATGTCTGTAAAGAAGCAGACGAATTTCTCAATATGATGTTCATTGGAAAATCAAATCCTAACTTTATGGTGCAAATGCAAATCCATCAAATATGAGTAACTACTATGAGACATTTAGGTGAAGAATGAAAAAATAAAAAAAACGATCATGATATCGTTGTTACATTTCACATGTTAATGGATATTTATAATAAAAACCTTAATTTCCAAAACGTTGGGTGCGTATTACCTCAAAAATTATGAATGGAATCAATCCAACTATTCCGAAGCCGGTCAAAGTAACAGAAGCTGGACATCCTTACCTCAGCCCTCATGAAGCAATGATCAAAATCTTTCAGGGTGAAAAGCATTGGTGTACTAGTAACTTTTTACGCGGATTATTCATGATCAAAATATTGATTGCGTCTGTATTGGGAATCATCACCAGCGGTTTCAATGTTTCGCCTGTTACAGGATCATTCATCTTTGTTTTTACAACTTTAGCCTGTATTTATTTATTGGTCGAGGTTAGATTACATATTGATGTTGTCCAAGTATTCGGCCTACGAAGGATTCTATATATTAAGCATTTACCTGCCACTTTCCTCTTATATTTCGTAGTATATTATTTCACAAGACGAGTCTTCAAAAATATAGCAGAAGGAAAGCGATCTTTCTTAATGTGACTTTTCCTTGTCAACAATACATCATTTTTTAAATGAAATTCAAATCGAAATATATTTGATTAAGGAGTTCAATAAAAACAATCAAACTATAGATATAGTACAGTTCAATTAAAGTATACATCTATTTAATAATCAATTTGATATTACTAAATATTATTCTTTCTTTGAAATATTTGTTTTTCCTGCTAGAATTCAAAATCGTTGAAGTACAGCTCTGTTGCAAAATGATTGGAATTGCATTTCAGGATTTCCCAGTTTATCAATATATGAAATTAACTTTAAAATAAAATATTGAGCAATGACGCACTTGAATTGTTATCTGATATAGTATTTATAGATTTAGTAGAGCATAATTTTTATAATATCTCAAATCTTTCAAATGAAATTTAAAATACTTTTCGTAAATGCTTATTTATTAGTTTGAACTCTCATATTTATTCGAATATTAAATCATTTCCCAATTGAATGGATCTGTTTCATAAAGCAATTTTATTGATACGAAATTGATGTCATAAATAAAAGAGAATTAACAAATCTAATATCTTTATAAACACTTTATAACAAAACTAATATTAATCATTAAGTAATCTATGCAAATTTCTTCTTGTTCCATAATTTGTTGGAAAAGACTCAAAAATAAAGCAAACAGCATCTTTGTTAACTGAAGCAACTTTTCTAACATTGCTTCTCATTTCCTTTTCAGTTGATTGTGAAATATTATGGAATTCGAGTAATTTTGGCAACATCAAGAAAGAAACCATGACTTTGAGTATAGCTCTGGCCAATTCCGATGTTGGGAACTTCGATACATAAATATTCATCTTATTCAATATCTCATCACTCATATTTTGTTTTTGAACAAATTCTACTTCGTCAAGATACAAACCTAGCATGTCAATTATCTCTATTTTAGGGTTTGCATCATCTTGGTCTTCTTCTGACTTATCTGTTTCGTCTTGTTCGATTAATAAACAAAGTAACAAATAAATGAAGTACAATTTTCCGCTGAATGTCTCTTCTGTGTCATCAAATGCGTCATTTACCTCTTTCATCAGTGAAATCAATGCAGGAGCTGTAAGTAATTCTGAATATACCTTCTTAATTGCGACCAAACACCTTGCTGCTTCTGTTAGAGTATCATTATACGTGTAGCCAAGGTTTTCGAATATCTTGTAGCATGATCTCGAAACAATTTTGCACTGATTTTTATCTAATCTTTGTTTTTGGATCATAGAAGTCAATGGCTTGAGAGCGGACAGTTTCATATCATCAATAGCAGTTACAAGGAACTGAACGAACCTTTCTGCATATAATGGAATGCAAGATTTGAATCTCAAAAACGCGAATTTCAAATAATTATATATCTCTGAGTTCTCTTCATTATAAAACAAAGGAATATCATGCAAAAACGCAATTTTCCCTTCCATGACATTCGAGATGAAGTCAAATGTCACTTTTTCATCTACCGGAAAATGTTTTATCAAAGTTTTCAAGCAGCTGAAAATCCATGGAGTTGTAGTTGTATTTGGGCAATTTTGAGCTGCAACGACAGCACACTTATAGATCTGTCCTGCGTCGTGCTCGTCGATCTTCTTCTTCATGCTGGAGACCATCATCGTCGCTGATTCCAAATTTGAGTTCGAAGGAGATTTAAACAGTTTCGTGATCAGTAAAACAACGTCTCCTTTGAGTTCTTCGAAATCGTCTGATGCTGCAATTTCAGATAATCCGTCACCAATGATGCCGCAGACCTTGTCTTCGGCCATTGTTCCCATTGCAACTTCATATAATTTCGGAATTACCTTTTTTATCTGTTTGTGGATGTAGGAGTTACCGAACATTGCTGGGAGAGTGAAGAATACTGCGAGATTGCCATAGAGATGCTTCTTGTCAGAGTTTACAAGCTGAATTGCCAAATCTGTCTCTTCTTCATAGTAATTTTGGGCCAAATCAATGCCGTTTGTGGTTAATTTCGATACAGTAAGGAGTGCTTCGGCTCTTTCTTCGTCAGAAGTTGTTGGTTCTACAATAATTCGATGTAAGAATTTCAAAATCTTCTTTCTCGAAGCATCTGTAAGAGTAAATTCGCTAAATTTGTTTTCTTCCTCTTCTTCATCGTCACTTTCGACAACAAGTTCCCTTAATTCTTTGTAATAATGATGAAGATTCGTATATTGAGATTTTGAATCGAGGAATTTGATAATATAGTCGTAAGAAATGCATAGTCTGTTATTGAATAGATTAAGAATTGCTCTGTGGCCTTGTTTAGCTAATATTGGGTCTTTATTACAAGCTAATTTAATTGCGGGTTCAAAAATCTCTGTTAGAATCATGTGAGGGTCATCTTCCGATAAGGAACCTATTTCTGATTCAAGGTGGCATGCAGCGGCGCATTCAAGTGGAGTTCCGTTCGCTAAAGTTAAAACTAAATTATCTATTGAAGAAAGAACTTTGTCAAGCTCGAGTTCGGTGCTTTCATCAAGTGAGCCCATGTAATGCGAGAATAATAGGCCATGAATAAACGAGACTGGAACTAAATCTTCTTTTGGAAGACTCTGTAAATAATCGTAGATCTTTGCAAGAGATGCATCTGGAATATTGCCGTATATGCATAAATCACTGACTAATTTGAATGGAATTGTCTCTGATTGTTTGCAAAGTATTCTTAAAATGTCAATAAACGATTTTATCACTGATAGCATGGATTTTTCATCAAAGTATGCCATAAAGTTGATAAGACCACTTGCACTTTTGATCCTTTCTTTAATTGATAGATTATGATTTGAAAATTTCTTGACAGCAGTGATAATAGAGTTAATTTTCTCGGTTTCTTCGTTAATTCCTGAGTATTGGTCTAATAGTTGCTCAAAACCTGCAAGACCTTGAATTGATTCTTCCGAATTACTGAGGATAATTTTCCAAATTTCATCCATATCAATGGCTTCTCCCATGTAGAGTGATCCACTCTCTGTTTCATGGATGTAATTGTAAAGTTGTTTGTAACATTGCTGCAAAGCCATTTCAAAAATTTTGTCTTTCGAACACAAAAAAAAGTCTAATGGAAAAATTTTGTTTACTTTGAGTGTTCTCCTTGTTAAAAGATATAAGAACCAATGCGAAACAAGAAAAAGTCTGGTTGTATGCTTTAGTGTACAGCTGGATGTTGAGCTGTTCGTCCCATTACATCTTCTCTATGAAATCTGTCATTCCTACACTTTAAAGGAATTCCAAAATATGTTGATGATGGAAGATTTGAAATAGATTCAAGCAGTAGTTCTCTATATATTTTTGTTTGAATTTTTTTCGAAAATATGAAGGTCGTCTGTGATATTTATCGTATAAGAATTATTCATTGGAGCTAAGTCATATCATATTGAGTATGATCTAATTGTTTATATCATGAATAATCAATTTATTTATCGAAAAATAAGAGTCATTGAGCTTGATTGAAAAGCAATTCTTCTCTATCATATGATAGATATCATAGTTCTTAATTGTTATTCAATGACAGGCCTTTTTTTGTGTAAATTTGTTTCAGAAAAATTAAAAAACTGTGTAAATTTATAACATAATACATGATATTTTATTACAACCAAATAAATGATTTAGTATTCTTCATAGTAGGGCGTATAATAAGCCTTCTTGTTGAAGTAGTTGATTTAGAGTTGCTCATGATTGGGAGTGAAGCTGATCGTGCTCTAATATTTAATTCTCCTGTGAAAATTGGGAGCTTGAGAAGATCCGATGCAGATAATCTTTGTTTTGGATCCATCTGAATGAGGCTCTCAAGGATCTTCTTCATATGGCCATAGCCATTGATCTCAACTGTGTTAACCTTTCCGAGTTTCTTCATATATTGGGTTGGAGAAAGGTCACCGAAGATAGATTGCTTATTAACTAAATAATAAACCATCGCTCCGAGGGACCACATATCGGCTTTTGCACCATCATATGTTTCTGAGTAAATGACTTCTGGTGCAATGAAATATGGTGTTCCGCACGCCAATGACTGATCCATCATCTGAGATTCTGTAGAGAAGCCGAAGTCAATGAGCTTAACGTTCATATTTTCATCAAAGCCGATATTATCTGGTTTAATATCGCGGTGGAAAATACCCCTAGAGTGAAGATAATTTAAGGCTGACGCGGTCTGTTGAACGATAGTATAGATCTTGGAGTCTGGTAACTTTTCGTGTGATAAGTTATATTGCGAAAGGGTTCCATTTACGCAGAGTTCTGTAATAATGACGATGTAGTTTTCGAGGAAAATTGTTTCAACGAATTTGGCAATGTATGGGTGATCGAGTCTTTCTAAGATCCTAAGCTCAGATTCAACATGTCTAAGGTATTCTCCATCACCGTGGAAGATTTCTCTGGAGATAAATTTCGCAGCGAAAAATTGCTGTTTCTTTGTATCATATGCTTGGTAGACTGAGCTGGATGAGCCCTTTCCAATGATATATCCGATTGAGTACTGCTTAACTTGTTTGGAAATGTTAGCTGCCATAGCTGTAATTAAAAAAATGATAAAAAATATTTTATTAAAAATTCATGCTTCTTTTGTATACAACCGTTTTTGATTCAAAAATCAAATAAATGAATAGCTTGAATGGAATTTGATATAGTCAAAGGTAATATTAAAAATAATGTCGATCAACTAAAAATTGAACGATAAATTTGAATGACATTGAATATGAAATTTGCATTATTATATGAGGTATTATAATCTAAGTAAGATGTTATTAGGTCGACCAATTTGATTTTTCTGTACTTGAATACTATTAGAAATTACTCAATTTTGTTAAAGTTTTGGGAATATGAACCTAAATTGGCAAATTAAAGAAGAATTTTAAATTATATTTATTGGCAACATTCAATTCAATAACGGGATTGTTATAGACCGAAAATATATTTTTTCGGTTTTCTCTTCAAATAATTGAAAGAATGATACTATTATAGGTTTATTATATTATATACCATATAATCATGCTATAGCCGAAAATTATAAGTTTTGAGAAGATTGAATATAACACAAATAAATTTGAATGTAAGTTAAATTGTTTGTTGTTTTTAATAGGTATTTAATGAGAAATCCAATATTGCGAAATTCAAATTGAATAATTGAAAGAACAGAAAAAGTTATTCTTTTCAATTTCGAATATGTTTCATTGTATTTATGATTATATGGCAAATAAGATATTTAAACTTGATTTTTGAAGGAAAATTCACAAAATTGAATAAATTCAAATAATTTTTATTCAAAAATAAACTAGTTATTTGAGTTTACTACTAATTATCTATTCAAACGACAAAGTTTGTAATTTAAAATATTTTGTGAGATCAGATTGAATTAATTCAAGGTTCTTTTCAATTAATATTAATGACCATATTACGCATTTTCGAACATTCTAAACCAAATATATAAAAATGGGAGACGAATGTTAAATTTTCTAGACATAAAGAAGTTGTTTACCGAGTTTTAGCTCTTATCTCTAACAAAAAATTAATTTTTAAAAAAATGACCGAATACGTTTCACAGCGAGAAAAAAATAAAAGGCAAGATAGAATTTTCTAGACATAAAGAAGTTGTTTACCGAGTTTTAGCTCTTATCTCTAACAAAAAATTAATTTTTAAAAAAATGACCGAATACGTTTCACAGCGAGAAAAAAATAAAAGGCAAGATAGAATTTTCTAGACATAAAGAAGTTGTTTACCAAGTGTCAGCTCTTATCTCTAACAAAAAATTAATTTTTAAAAAAATGACCGAATACGTTTCACAGCGAGAAAAAAATAAAAGGCAAGATAGAATTTTCTAGACATAAAGAAGTTGTTTACCGAGTTTTAGCTCTTATCTCTAACAAAAAATTAATTTTTAAAAAAATGACCGAATACGTTTCACAGCGAGAAAAAAATAAAAGGCAAGATAGAATTTTCTAGACATAAAGAAGTTGTTTACCGAGTTTTAGCTCTTATCTCTAACAAAAAATTAATTTTTAAAAAAATGACCGAATACGTTTCACAGCGAGAAAAAAATAAAAGGCAAGATAGAATTTTCTAGACATAAAGAAGTTGTTTACCGAGTTTTAGCTCTTATCTCTAACAAAAAATTAATTTTTAAAAAAATGACCGAATACGTTTCACAGCGAGAAAAAAATAAAAGGCAAGATAGAATTTTTCTAGACATAAAGAAGTTGTTTACCGAGTTTTAGCTCTTATCTCTAACAAAAAATTAATTTTTAAAAAAATGACCGAATACGTTTCACAGCGAGAAAAAAATAAAAGGCAAGATAGAATTTCTAGACATAAAGAAGTTGTTTACCGAGTTTTAGCTCTTATCTCTAACAAAAATTAATTTTTAAAAAAATGACCGAATACGTTTCACAGCGAGAAAAAAATAAAAGGCAAGATAGAATTTTCTAGACATAAAGAAGTTGTTTACCGAGTTTTAGCTCTTATCTCTAACAAAAAATTAATTTTTAAAAAAATGACCGAATACGTTTCACAGCGAGAAAAAAATAAAAGGCAAGATAGAATTTTCTAGACATAAAGAATTGTTTACCGAGTTTTAGCTCTTATCTCTAACAAAAAATTAATTTTTAAAAAAATGACCGAATACGTTTCACAGCGAGAAAAAAATAAAAGGCAAGATAGAATTTTCTAGACATAAAGAAGTTGTTTACCGAGTTTTAGCTCTTATCTCTAACAAAAAATTAATTTTTAAAAAAATGACCGAATACGTTTCACAGCGAGAAAAAAATAAAAGGCAAGATAGAATTTTCTAGACATAAAGAAGTTGTTTACCGAGTTTAGCTCTTATCTCTAACAAAAAATTAATTTTTAAAAAAATGACCGAATACGTTTCACAGCGAGAAAAAAATAAAAGGCAAGATAGAATTTTTCTAGACATAAAGAAGTTGTTTACCGAGTTTTAGCTCTTATCTCTAACAAAAAATTAATTTTTAAAAAAATGACCGAATACGTTTCACAGCGAGAAAAAAATAAAAGGCAAGATAGAATTTTCTAGACATAAAGAAGTTGTTTACCGAGTTTTAGCTCTTATCTCTAACAAAAAATTAATTTTTAAAAAAATGACCGAATACGTTTCACAGCGAGAAAAAAATAAAAGGCAAGATAGAATTTTCTAGACATAAAGAAGTTGTTTACCGAGTTTTAGCTCTTATCTCTAACAAAAAATTAATTTTTTAAAAAAATGACCGAATACGTTTCACAGCGAGAAAAAAATAAAAGGCAAGATAGAATTTTCTAGACATAAAGAAGTTGTTTACCAAGTGTCAGCTCTTATCTCTAACAAAAAATTAATTTTTAAAAAAATGACCGAATACGTTTCACAGCGAGAAAAAAATAAAAGGCAAGATAGAATTTTCTAGACATAAAGAAGTTGTTTACCGAGTTTTAGCTCTTATCTCTAACAAAAAATTAATTTTTAAAAAAATGACCGAATACGTTTCACAGCGAGAAAAAAAATAAAAGGCAAGATAGAATTTTCTAGACATAAAGAAGTTGTTTACCGAGTTTTAGCTCTTATCTCTAACAAAAAATTAATTTTTAAAAAAATGACGAATACGTTTCACAGCGAGAAAAAAATAAAAGGCAAGATAGAATTTTCTAGACATAAAGAAGTTGTTTACCGAGTTTTAGCTCTTATCTCTAACAAAAAATTAATTTTTAAAAAAATGACCGAATACGTTTCACAGCGAGAAAAAAATAAAAGGCAAGATAGAATTTTCTAGACATAAAGAAGTTGTTTACCGAGTTTTAGCTCTTATCTCTAACAAAAAATTAATTTTAAAAAAATGACCGAATACGTTTCACAGCGAGGAAAAAAATAAAAGGCAAGATAGAATTTTCTAGACATAAAGAAGTTGTTTACCGAGTTTTAGCTCTTATCTCTAACAAAAAATTAATTTTTAAAAAAATGACCGAATACGTTTCACAGCGAGAAAAAAATAAAAGGCAAGATAGAATTTTCTAGACATAAAGAAGTTGTTTACCGAGTTTTAGCTCTTATCTCTAACAAAAAATTAATTTTTAAAAAAATGACCGAATACGTTTCACAGCGAGAAAAAAATAAAAGGCAAGATAGAATTTTCTAGACATAAAGAAGTTGTTTACCGAGTTTTAGCTCTTATCTCTAACAAAAAATTAATTTTTAAAAAAATGACCGAATACGTTTCACAGCGAGAAAAAAATAAAAGGCAAGATAGAATTTTCTAGACATAAAGAAGTTGTTTACCGAGTTTTAGCTCTTATCTCTAACAAAAAAATTAATTTTTAAAAAAATGACCGAATACGTTTCACAGCGAGAAAAAAATAAAAGGCAAGATAGAATTTTCTAGACATAAAGAAGTTGTTTACCGAGTTTTAGCTCTTATCTCTAACAAAAAATTAATTTTTAAAAAAATGACCGAATACGTTTCACAGCGAGAAAAAAATAAAAGGCAAGATAGAATTTTCTAGACATAAAGAAGTTGTTTACCGAGTTTTAGCTCTTATCTCTAACAAAAAATTAATTTTTAAAAAAATGACCGAATACGTTTCACAGCGAGAAAAAAATAAAAGGCAAGATAGAATTTTCTAGACATAAAGAAGTTGTTTACCGAGTTTTAGCTCTTATCTCTAACAAAAAATTAATTTTTAAAAAAATGACCGAATACGTTTCACAGCGAGAAAAAAATAAAAGGCAAGATAGAATTTTCTAGACATAAAGAAGTTGTTTACCGAGTTTTAGCTCTTATCTCTAACAAAAAAATTAATTTTTAAAAAAATGACCGAATACGTTTCACAGCGAGAAAAAAATAAAAGGCAAGATAGAATTTTCTAGACATAAAGAAGTTGTTTACCGAGTTTTAGCTCTTATCTCTAACAAAAATTAATTTTTAAAAAAATGACCGAATACGTTTCACAGCGAGAAAAAAATAAAAGGCAAGATAGAATTTTCTAGACATAAAGAAGTTGTCTACCAAGTTGTCAGCTGTTACTTTTCTCAATACTGATATAAAATAAAAATCTTTTTTATTTATTTAACATTTATTGTTTCATTAAACTTCATTTATTTTATATTATAGTTTTATTCTTTTAGCTACTTGTAAAATAATCTAATTTTATATCATCATTTTACCGGATTATTCTTCAGTACATCGATTGTGTATCTAAAATAATATCATTATCCTTATTCTGTTTTTTCCAAAATTCTTTTAAATATCTTTTTTGGTTAGATTACTTTATACTTTTTACTTTTATTTTTTAATTTCAAAAAAATTTGGTGATTGTTCTATTCTGTTACAATGTGCATTATCATATTCTAATGAATTATTCATTACATACATTTAAAAAAACTTGTTAAAAATGAAATTAAAAAATTATGTTTATTATTACGCTGTGAATGTGTCAACAGCGGTCATGCCTGTATCTGTATCCCATATTTGCCACAACCTTTCTGTATCTGCATTTGTGTATTTCGGTTTCAGCTGATACATTTGATTTGG